TTACTTATAAATTCAACTAAAAAATTAAAACCTAGTAAAAATACCTACAATTGCATAACATAAATTAATAGATATATATCAGTGTTTATATATATATATATATATATATAAATATATATATATATAAATATATATATATATATAAATATATATATATATAAATATATATATATATATATATATATATATATATATATAAATATATATATATATAAATATATATATATATATATATATATATATATATATATATATATATATATATATATATATATATATATATATATATAAATATATATATATATATATATATATATATATATATATATATATATATATATATATATATATATATATATATATATATATATATATATTATAAGCGCTATTATATGCACTCGAAATATATAAAATTGCTGTTTTAGGTCGAAGAAAAACATGCTAAAGTCATGCAAAAGTGTGTCTAAATGCGCTCTAGTGTGTATATATATATATATATATATATATATATATATATATATATATATATATATATATATATATATATTATATATATATATATATATATTATAAGCGCTATTATATGCACTCGAAATATATAAAATTGCTGTTTTAGGTCGAAGAAAAACATGCTAAAGTCATGCAAAAGTGTGTCTAAATGCGCTCTAGTGTGTATATATATATATATATATATATATATATATATATATATATATATATATATATACAACCCTTGGAATTAGGAAAAATGAGATGGCAATAATTTGCCAACCTTAACCTTTTAGAGGTCGGCATCAGGTGGAGAAATGTTCTTTGGACAAATGAGTCAAAATTTGAAGTTTTTGGTTCAAAACGCCATGTTTTCGTGGGTAAATATGCATAGGAAAGGAATTTAGAAGAATGTTTACTACCAACAGTAAAACATGGAGGCGTTTCTATCACTGTTTGGGGATGTTTTGGTAGAGAAAATCTTGGAAACCTACATATAATTGAAGGAATAATGACAAAAAAAATTTATAAAGAATTTTTTGAGATTATTTGCCTCTAAAAACAACTTTTTTTGAAATTGTCTGCTGCCACCCCCTAAATGTGTTCTATGTAATAAATTAACACTTAATTAAAAAATAATTTGAATACGAAAAAATTTTATGGGTTGCTCAATACCTTTAACATCAAACGGGTCCCTAATATTTTGAAAAAGAAAGTTCTTCAAAAGTATATCATGTTGGGTCTCAAAAGAAGTTTGATAAAATTTTCAAAAATAATAAAAACAAATCATAGAAATACAAATTAAAAAAGTTTATTTGAAAAAAAACTTTAAAAAAATGCACTTTTTATTTTTTGTTTAAAAACAGTTTTTAAGCCATAAAATTTAAACTAGTAATCTTTATATAAAATAATTATTATTTTTGAAATTTTTATAAAATTTCACTTCTTTTGAGACTCAACATGATATACTTTTGAAGAACTTTTTTTTCAAAATATTAGGGACCCATTTGATGTTTAAGGGTCTTGAGCAACCCATAAAATTTTTTCCTATTCAAAAATACAATGATTTTTTATGACTTTTACTTCCTCTAGTATAACTTCATCAATTTTGTATTTGTATTCAGGGTTGTTCTAATCCCAAGCCATTCAAGCTTTACTAATTTCAAATGCTTTTGAAAAATCTAATAAAAATTCATCTATATTGTATCCATCTGCAAGTGCCTTTGTTATAAAATCAATTAAATTTTTCTTGTAGGCATAGTATGTATTTTTTGGAAATACTGTTGTATGCAGGTGCTGTTTTAAGGATGGACCAATTCAGTATAAAATCATCAAAATTTTTATCTTTTAGTTCCCATATATATTTTGACAGCATGATGCCTTTTGAATATTTTTTATTTTTAAAAGATTGCTTATGATTGGCAAAATTTGGATTTCTTTTTTATTTAAAACTCAGCTACATGTTAGCTACAGTTGCACAAAAAAATGGAAAGAATTATAAAAGGTCACAATAATGCTAAATAAAAAAGAAATCCTAAATAAAAAAACTACAGAAAATTGTAATTGTAAACAAAAAAACAAATGTCCAATGAGTGGAAGTTGTTTATCGAAAAATGTGGTATATAAATGTGTTGTTTCCTCTAAGAATCTACCTGATAAACAATATATTGGCATAGGTGGGTGAATGAATAGGTGGGTGAAACAGAGGGTGAATGGAAATAATGTTTTGCAAATCATAAGCAATGATAATGTTTACAAAAAAATTAATATAAAATCCCATTAGATTAGTTTATAGTTAACTTGCCTTAATCACCCTTAGCGACAATAACCACAATACATATTCTTGGAATTCTACTTAACAACTTGAACAATTTTCAAGGATTTCAATGCATAAGATATGGAAAAAACTAATAAATATTTTCCACATCTTATGCATCATTACAAATTTTTTTTTGACATTACTTTCCAAAATAATCCAATAGAAGAGAGACCTTGTGATTAGGGAGGCTTAAGCATTCTATTCAATATTTGATCATTCTCGAACTCAGTCAAATGACTTATATAATTTTTTTTGTAAAATATGTTTTGGATTTAAGCTTCAAGTCATTTTCTTCCGAAAAAATAAATGCCTTCCCATTAAACCATCTTTCCAAAGGTGTAGCATCATTTTTTAAGTGTACAAGTAAACTACTTTTGTTATTACTCCCTCTTGTAAAAATACAAAGTCACCTGTGGCATTCCAACCAAAACAGCCCCATACCTTAAAACTACATACTGGATGTTTTACAGTCTACTACACACTATTTACACACTATTTTATCATACATTCAACAATTTTTTTTTAAGTTAAACAGTCTTATCTTGAAACCAAAGATTTAAAACTTCGACACATTGGCCTACGTTTACAGTCGTTGATGGTCCATTTTTATGTAGTTTTGCTCACTTTTACATTTTTATTAGTCATGATTTTTATCAAAGCATTTTAATCAAAAAACTTTTAAATTATCTAATAGTGCAAAAATAAACATAAAAAATAGTTAAATAAAAATTAACATAAAAAAAAAAAATTTGAATAATTATGAACCGTAGTGTGCGTGTATATATATATATATATATATATATACACGGTATATATATATATATACATATATATATATATATATATATATATATATATATATATATATATATATATATATATATATATATATATATATATATATATATATATATATACATACATACATATATATATATACATATATATATATACATATATATATATATATATATATATATATATATATATATATATATATATATATATATATATATATATATATATATATATATATATATATACATATATATATATATATATATATATATATACATACATATATATATATATATATATATATATATATATACACGGTAGTGTGCGTGTATATATATATATATATATATATATATATATATATATATATATATATATATATATATATGCATATATATTAACAAATAAAAAACAACTTTTTCTATGGTTCTTTAAGTTTCATGCCTATACGTCAATCATCAGCCATTTAATAAAAAATCAAAAATAAAAATACCCCCTAAAAATTACAAAATACTGTGTAGTGGGATCTTTATGCCACTAAGAAATACTTGATGGCAATCAAAGAAAAAACAAAATATTAGCTAATCACCGGTGCCAAATTTATTCTTGTGTCTGCATTTTGAAATCAACTCATTTCGTTTATTTAGTAAGTTATCCCCTTTATATGTTAAAATAAGGAATTTTTCGAATAAGCAAAGGTTGCAAATTTTTGACGAGGCGTTATAAGTATTGCAACGTTTTACAATTTTCCACTTAATTAAGAGTGTAAATAATTTGTCTTTTATGTCCTAAATTTCTTTAGACATCTCGATATTATTATTATATTTATTAATGTTAAAAGATTTTATGTGATTAGCATACCGAGACTTGAATGGAGTTTCACATAAGCCAAAATATACTTTTTCTTTGTAGTCAGGTTTATTTGACGACGCAGTGGCTTGATAAACTATATTTTTTGTCAAGCACTGATTGTTCATGGGATAGATGGATTTGATGAGGCAGTTGCATGTTTTTCCCTCATCTTTATCTTGGCTACATATTATCCTGTGGTTGTGCGAATTAATGATCGACTTAATATTTGGCATACATGAGCATCTTATTTTAATGGAATTTCGATTAAATATCTTACAAAGTTTGTGGCCAACCGGAAAGTGCAGGTCTACCATGTTTAAAAGAAAACTGCCTATTTTTGTTGCAACATTGGTACTGAAAGGTGGGTTGTACCAGATTATGTTTCCCTTGTGATTTTTGAATTGGATAGGCTTTTTATTTGAATGTTAAGTGAATTTGCAGATAAAACCTGATTTAGATAATGCATCTTGATAAAGAGGAATGGATTGTTTAAAAACATTTTTGTTAGAAGAATTGGTTGACAGTCTTAGTTCAATAGTTTAAGGAAGGCTTTTTAGTATACTAGGAGGGTGGTTAGAGTCAGCATTTATATAACTGATGAAATTACCAGGTTTGCAGTAAGGTTGGAAAGAACTGTCATTAAGATATATAATATATATATATATATATATATATATATATATATATATATATATATATATATATATATATATATATATATATATATATATATATATATATATATATATATATATATATATATATATATATATATATATATATATATATACATATATATTAACTAACTAGAGTGCTCTGTTCTGGGCTCCATGCTTCCTGTGAGTTCTCAGATTATACTGATGTTCAGATATACTTAAATAAATAGTTTTTTTTTACAATAAAAAACTAAAAAATAATAATTTCTATAAAAAACGTTTTAGTTTAATTTCATTTTGATAAAAAAATATTTTATGAATGAAAAAAATCGATTGCCAATAATAATGCAAGTCAATTATTATAACTCTTTTTAAGACTGGCAAAAATCAGAAAAAATATTTAACAGCTTTGAGTTTGCAGACCAAATACAAGCTATTGCATTTGATAAAAAAAAGTTAACAGGAAAACGGAGCTGTACCATTGTTTGTAAATGAAGTTTTTTAGTGAATAGTTTTATTTACTACATGCCAAAATCATATTATTAAGTACTCTGAAAAAACTGTTAAATTCATAAAAGACAAGATTAATAATGCTTAAAAGAAAAAGAGACAGAAATTAAATATATTTTCCTGCATAATTGCAAACAGAAGTATGAGGTGAAAAGCCAAATTGATAAACAAAACAATAACAAAAATTTGTCATTTGTGGATTTGTGTGGATTAAAACCTTTTTTATTTTTGTTGTCACTGAGAAACTTTAAAAGATAAAAAATTAAATTATTTTCAAGTTTTTTATACTTGTTCAAACGTGCTAAAAATGGCTGAAAAAAGAGTCTAAATTAAAATGGCTAAAATAAGAGAATTAAAAGGATTTACAAAACTAAAAATGATTGAAAAAAATGTAGAGCAGATGAAATGGTATCTTATATGTTTTCATGACCTAAAATTATTTAACAAGGTAAAGTAAAAAATAACAACATAATGTATGCTCTAAAACTATATATATATATTCTGTAAAACTATATATATATTCTGTAACTATATATAATGTATGCTCTAAAACTATATATGTATTCTATATATATAAAACTATATATATATATATATATAACTATATATATTTAAGATACTCAATTTTGGAAAAGGTAACAATATCATAACCATGTTTGAGAGATGAAACATTTTGCACTTAGGCCAGTTCGCATTTATGACAATTCGCACTTATGACAATGTTTGAAAATTCTTTAGGCGCACTTATGCTGATTCGCACTTAAGCAAGTTTTTGCACATGCTTCGCATTTTTGCCAGTTCGCATTTATGCCAGTTTGCACTTATGCAAGTTCGTACTTACGCCAATTGCACTTATGCCAGTTCACATTTATGAAATTTGTGCTAATTCAGTTATCCCTGTTTTGACAGTTCGCTAATAATATTCAAGTATAAAGATTAAAAATGGCAACAATAAAACGGCAAGCAACAACTTTTTCTTAAACTTCATATCAAACGAATGGAGACCTTTGTTGATGCCACTATCTCTCAAAAGAAAAGCTCATCTCTCAAAAGAACTCCTGACATAAAATAAGAAATATAATAATCGTACAATATTGAACCTTAGTATTAAACATTAATTTTAACATTAATATCTTAAATAATAATTTTTAAAAAATTTTCTTAAAATAAAGAAACATTTTTACTTAAGGGAGATTCTTAAAAAATTAAAAAAATAATTATGATTGAAAATCATAATTATTTTTTCACAATAAAACCATGAGGCAGATTAACACTTGACCTAAAATCAAGAAGAATAAAAGCTTTCGTACTATATTTTCATGAAAAACATCACCCTAAGGACCATCACAAATTTACAAAGGAATTCAAGTCAGCCTTAAGATAGAAGCAAAAAGTCTTACGACAATGAACGAATGTGAATGTGATGTATAAGAAATACAAGAAAAAAGAATTTTGAAAAAATCATAGATCTCATCCATCCAAAAGCTTATAAAAAGAAACTAAGCACAAGTAAGTATCAAAAACAAATCACAAAGAGTTAAGTCAAATGATTATAATTGTCTGGAAAAATAGTCATAAAAAGTGATACTTGGTAATTTAAAGTTAAACTCAAAGTTCATTTTAACATAGTGACTAAAGTATTAAAATTAAATAAATTAATTAAATTAAAGATTTAAGCTTTATTTAAAATCTAATTATAAAATTTTTTGAATCTTTACCATATTAACTAGAGTTAGTTACCTAGCAACTGCAAAAATTAAACAACTTTTTTTTTTGAAATAAGTTTTTTTTTTTAATGTATATTTTTTAAAAAATGTATTCACCTCCTCAAGTTCAAAAAGGACATTACAGTTGAGGAGGCTACTTTATTGTGTCTGCAACCCTTTCTCAATTCTGAAACATGAACAAACAAGTAGGGAAACGAGTTGAGTATGGTAGTAACAAGGACATGGTAGGGACAAAACTTAAAACTTCTTGCTTATAAACCAAGCACTCTACCACTACACTATTCATTCTTTTATTGAAAGAGCAATTATGTTTTTTTTCTTATTAAATTCAATAAGTAATCTAAAAAATTAAGATATATGAACCAATAACATATGAATAACAAAGACAACGGTCTTGTTTAACATGTTTCGTATTTCAGAGGTTAGGCTTAAGAGAGTGAAAATTAAAAAAAAAAAATCAGTAGCCTCCTGCAGTGACTAAAATACCTCATAGGCTGCAGTGGCCTCCTCTGGAGGCTTGGGAAGGTAAATTTAACACTAAAATATATATATCAAACTAACTTGCCTCATGTTTATTTTGTTTTGTTTATTTTATTTGGAAATTCAGATGAGTTAAAACTGTTTTGAAATTATAGATAAAATGTTTTTAATTAACAAACATACAGTTTTTAAATTTTCAAGTTCATTTAGTTGTGCAACAAGTAGAGACTTAAACTCTCCATTGACAAAACAAGCTGGAGTAGATGTAAGGATTAATTCATTCAGCTTGCAGAGGACTGAATTATAACCACCTAAACAAAAAAATACTTCAATACAAAATTATACTTTATATTGCACATTATAAAAAAAACTATTAGTTCTTGAAATTGTAAAAAAAAAAACAACCGAGTTTCTCTTACTTCCATCATAAATAAAATTAAAAATTTTACCTTCTCTTTCACCCAACATAAAGAGATTGATATTTTTCACGCACATAGAAAGTTTTACTAGTAATAAAATTTATTATTTTAAAAATAAATAAAATGAAAATTATTACTAAATAAAATATGAGCTTTTAGCATGAAAAATATGAAAAATTGAATATGTAAACTTAAGAATTTATAATTTTATAAATGTTTAAAAATAAACTTCAAATTATTACTCTAAAGACAATTATTTATCCTTAAAAAAAAAAAAAGTATTTATAAACAAAAACATACATTCAAGTTTTTCTGCTTTTAAGCCATCTGCACTCTCTTTATTTACTTGATATTTAGATTCGATTTGCAATTCTCTTTTGGTTTGCAATATTTTATCTAAATTTATTTTCTTCGTGAGAATGAGTAGTGCATGACCCATTGCACTTGAATATTCCAATGAAAAGTACACACATTCGAAGGAGCAGTCCATTTCTTTCTCGTCAACATAACACTTATAAATAATAAAAATATTTTTATTATTTATATTCAGCAATAACTTATTACCACTATCTTTACAATATTATATATATATATATATATATATATATATATATATATATACATATATATATGCATATATATATATATATACACATATATATACATACATATATATATATATATATATATATATATATATATATATATATATATATATATATATATATATATATATATATATATATATATATATATATACATATACACATATATATATATACACATATATATATATATATATATACATATGTATATATATATATATATATATAACTACATATGTAAAAGTATGATAGATTGCTGGTAATAATCTCACATATACCAGGCTTGGTCGGGAAGCGGGTATGATTGCACTCAATAACTGACCACGGAAATAATATTTTAATATAAACTTTGTTTTATGGACATAAATGGAAACACTTGATGCTCTGTGCGGAAAAATTAAAAAAGAATATTCGCGAACACAAAAATCACACCAAATCTACGAACAACTAATTCTATTGGTTCAAAAAATACAAACCCAAATTTCTAGAGTATTCAAAAAATACTAACCGAATGTTCTAGAGTATTCTATTGAAATATTTTAAAAAGCTGTATTATTTGAGCTTTGTCATGTTTTCGTTGAGATTTCTAGCTTAAATTGTTTTAAGAATATACTATCAAACGAACTATTTTCTTAATACTATGGCTCATTCTCGGAGCCACATCGACAAAGCTATAAATGTTATTAGTATATTTTTTATATATAAGAGATGTATTTTTTATGAATGTAATGTATTTTTATGTATGTAATGTATTTTTATGTATGTACTTTTTAAGTATATAATTTTATGTATGTATATTTAAATTAAATGTAATCTTTTAAAGCAATTTGTGCGATTGATTTTGTAAACAAAAATACTTTCAATAATAACTGCGTTTTCAATGAAATTATTAAAAATCATCAAAGTTAATACAAAAAAACTTTAACCACTAATCCATTCCTTAGTGTACCCAATAACTGATTCTTTCCCCCAAAAAAGAAAAGTTTTCAAGTTCTTAGAAATTGGTTTACTAACTTTAATTATTTTTGCTTCAGCCATTCTTACAAACTCGTTATACTTAAACTTAAAGTTACTTTTTCTGTTTTAAATACTAATTAAAATTATAAAGCCCACTCACTAAACATTACAAGCGGTATTGTGAAGCAGTTCTTCTTCCTCCTCCCAAAGTAATTTAATGTTTTTAGGTAATTTTCTATCTAGCTAATTGAATTTCTACAGTATATCAATGATTTAATTATTTTGTTTGTTTATCTTACTAAGAAGAAATGTTTCAATGTGTTAAACTTTTCAAACTACGCAAAGCATAAAACAGTTATTGGAAAAACTTTTTTATTTATAAATAAATCATCTAGCGTTAGTTTTCTTGGTTGCATCTGTTTGGACTTTTCAGGGCCAGGTCCTGCATTATTTAGGTGGCCTTTTTTATGTGCTACAGCGTAAACATGACTAAAAAAATACCGAATGGTCCTCTTGACTATTCCGTGCCCCCTAACACTGTGACTCCCGAGCCTATAGCCCTTCTAAATCTCTCCCCCCCCCACCTCCTCAAATTAGCACTGAAAATAAGACACAAATTACAAACAAAATTTATATATACTCTTTGATAAATCGAAAAACATTTGTTTTCTTATTAAACAATTATTAACAGTAAGTTGTTTATATAATAAATGTTGCTTAACTTTATAAAAAAAATTATAGAAGCAACGTTTCAAAAATATTTGCTCTAACCGTATTTATTTTGCCTAAAGTTTTTTCGTGTTAAAGGCTATTTTTTTTTTTTTAACTGTCTCTCATCGGTCCAGTTAATCTTTTTGCACTTTTTTGTTTTTGAAATGTTCTCAAAATGACTAAAAAATCTGGCCGGTTTTTCGCAACTAAATATTATTTCCGTGGTCAATTATCAAGTGCGATCGCACCCACTTCTTAACCAAGCCTGATATACCAGAAGCAGGGATTGTTTCACTGAAACTAATATCTGCCAAAATGTCAGTTTAAGATTAAAAAAATTATTAACTGGCTATGCGCAAGCTTTTTGAAGGCGTATTTTCAATGTGGTAAAATCTAGGTAGAAAGTGTCAAAAGATACAGCTATTTAAAATTGAGTGATCACACACTCAGGACTTGTTCTCAACCATTTCCTGATATACTAGTGTAAAGTGGCTTCATAAAAGCCAAATCATAACCTTATAATTCCTGACCGGATGAATGAAAAAAAGTCTTATGTATATACAAACACAAAATGGATCGTATATGAAATATAAATGCGTTAAGTAAACAATTTATTTTCATAAAATTGTATTTTATGCCCCTAATTTGCTGACCAACTATGCCCCATTATTAGCACATTACTAAAAACAGTTCAACATATAGAAAAAATTAACACATATCAAAACTCTAAAGTTTTAATAACTAAACTCAAAAGTTTTTATAACAACTGTTCTATATATACCTTTGGTATGTATATTCATTTATTATCTCTCATGTCAGCTCATTCACTTTTTTCTTTTTTGTACTCTGGCTTTTTTAATAGTTATTATTCTTCTTTTTATTATTATTTTTTGGTCACTATCTATATTATTACTTTTTGTTGTTAGTTTGTTTTTTGCTTTATTTGTTTATTTCATTGAGGTGTCAATTCAATGACTAGTTTTTAACTATATGAGTGACACCAAACCTAATTTTGTAAAATTATGAATAAATCTGTAATTTTATGGTTAAATAAATGGTTTCAAACAATAGTATTCATCCGGTGTAATAGAATTCATCCAATGCAATAGTATTAATCCAGTGTAATAGAAAAATAATTTGCATTCAACATCAATGAACCTAGTTGATCTTTTAACTTATTTTTGACACTTAAAAATTTAATTTTTGAAAATTAAAACAAGTGTGAAAGTTTACTTACATGGTTTTAATTTTAACCATTAAAACCAACAATAACAAAAGCAAACAAAAAAAATATCTGAAACTAACTGAATTGCTTGTGCTTTTTTTTTTGTCATAAAATCATAACCCTATAATTCCTGACCAGATGAAAACACACTTTTTGTTAAAGCATTATAACTAAGTTTTGAGAAAACTTTTTTGACACCTGAAAAAGATTTCAAGAGCTGCTTTTGCCCAAGGAACTTTTAGCTGTTTTTTTGTTTTTTGGATTTTTTTTATTTCATTTTTTTGATCAAGGTACCATAATCCTGTTGTAGACCTGGCAAACTGAAATTAGTTTCCACATATCTTGCACATATCTTGCAATATTGGACTTCATTAGGGTCTCATTAGTAGAACCCAAATACAAAAAAAGATTTCCTTACAAAGACAAACAAAAAAACTAGAGAATTGAATCAGGAGTAAGAAAAAAGCACAATAAAAACATGCATACTTAGCATATGCTTAATTTGCAATGGATTGTATATATAGTTTTTATTAGATATCATTAGAGAAGGAAAAACCTAAAAAATATAAAAGTAGAGGACTCAGAATGAATTATCCCATTTTATAAAGTATAAAGTAGAGAACTGGGTCGTAGAGAACTGTAGTAAGAGTGATAATAAAGTAGAGAACTGGGTAAGAGTGTTGAATTCATCAATATAGAAGTATCAATAATATCGCAATAATTATTGTAAGTAAACAATTGAGTTTTGTTTGAGTTAAAATGTACTAGCCAATACAAACCCTGAGCTGTTACAAAAAATTAGATTCAAAATTGACTGCCTGTTCTAAATGATTAAAAAGCGATGACTTTTGTCAAGACTAAAATATATAGTTTTGTTATCTGCAAATAGAGTCACTTTAGAGGTAAGATTATTATGATGATCATTTATAAAGATGAGGAACAACACAGGGTCAAAACAGAACCTTGCAATACCCTCAAAGTTACTGAAAATGAAGGAGAGTGTTGTCCCGTCAAGGACAACTTTATCTGAGGTTAGGAAAGAACGATTATTTTTAAAACTGCTTATCTATAAAGAGAACTTACACAAAAAATTTGATCAAATTATGTCAGAATAATAAAAAATCTTTAATAAGTCAAGAATAATAGCCCTTGTTTCTATTTAATACAAGATAAAAATTTTTTTATATAAAAGTTAACAAATCAGCAGTAAGACAAAGGGAACAAAATTTGCTAGGTTGAGTATGTTGTTAAGCTCAAGATGGAATATTATAAGTTAATTAAAGTTTCAAAGACTTTAATAATAGTAGAAAGAATAAAAAGATTGAAAGAAGAAGAAAGGGTAGTAAGAAAGGTTTGAAAGAAGAAAAAGGGTAGTAAGAAAGGTTTAAAAGAAGAAGAAAGGGTAGTAAGAAAGGTTTAAAAGAAGAAGAAAGGGTAGTAAGAAAGGTTTGAAAGAAGAAGAAAGGGTAGTAAGAAAAGTTTGAAAGAAGAAGAAAGAGTAGTTAGAAAGGTTTGAAAGAAGAAGAAAGAGTAGTTAGAAAGGTTTGAAAGAAGAAGAAAGGGTTATAAGAAAGGTTTGAAAGAAGACGAAAGGGTAGTAAGAAAGGTTTGAAAGAAGAAGAAAGAATAATGGGCAATAGCTATAGGGGTAAGAACCATCTCAAGAGATTTTGAAAATATTAACTAAAGAGTAGAATTTGGAGTTATTAAGAACACTTTGTGAAGACTTTGACAGGAACGCTGAACAAATCTTTATAAAAATAAGTTTGAGGAGAATAAGTGAGAAATAACTAGAGCAATAAAACCAGGATTTCGATGTCTAATGGTGAGTTATATATAGCTCACACAAAAAGCTGTCTAGATGCACAGCTAGCTTTGATTTACACAAGCTTTCTGAGTTCCTGCTGGCATGTGTATATATTTGTGTGATGAACTTATTAATTATTCTATTTCAAAAATTAATTTTTAACTTATTTAATAATAATTTAATTTAATACTAATTTGATTTGCTATTTTGATCTTACTATTAAAATTATTTAAACATTCATATAAAACATTCATATAACTTTTTTCATATAAAACATTACCATTCATATAAAAATTTGTAAATATAAACATACATACATTGATATTTAACTTCCCTATCTCAATAAGGCGTCCCCAAACATGTCTTTCAGACTGTGGTAAACATGATGGAGTATCATGTTGAAGTCGACAAGGTCTTGGAAACCCATCAGAAATAACATCATCAACATTAACATACAGATAAAGGTTTTCAGCTTCAGAAAAACTATGTAATGTAAATATAAATAAATATAAATTGATGTAAATGTAAACATGGAATTTTTTAAGCTACACCCTATTTTATTATGACCTTATTTCATCAACATTTTGATAAATAATTACACAGTATAGTCGTAAAATGATATACCAAGTCTTGTGATAAAGTGTTTCCTATTATGAATTTAATGTATACAATAATTATGATAAATCTAAAACTACGCTTAAATCTAAAAAATAAAATCTAAATCACTAATAAATTAGTAATTTAGCATTTAGAGCTATTTGTTAAAAACTACTTTTTAAGACATTTGAGAAATAAAGTGTTTTAATTATCTACACCATTTTTACAAAAGTTGCACTTTGTTAGTTTATATTTTACATTTTGTTTAGTTATACTAAATATAGCAACAATTGGTAATTGTATGCAATTGGTAATTGTATGCAATTGGTAATTGTATGCAATTGGTAATTGTATGCAATTGGTAATTGTATGCAATTGGTAATTCTATGCAATTGGTAATTCTATGCAATTGGTAATTCTATGCAATTGGTAATTCTATGCAATTGGTAATTCTATGCAATTGGTAATTCTATGCAATTGGTAATTCTATGCAATTGGTAATTCTATGCAATTGGTAATTCTATGCAATTGGTAATTCTATGCAATTGGTAATTCTATGCAATTATACATAATATTTTCTACATTATCAAATATTAAAACTTTTGCTGCCTGATTAAAAATAAATTATTAAATTCCACACTTTGTTAATTTTACTTTTTAAAACTTTTGTTTTTAATTAGGCAGCAAAAAATATTGTTTTTAAATAGGCAGCAAAAAAGTAAGTTATTGTTTTAGCTTTAAAAATAAAAAGGTAATAAATGAAACGTAAAAAAATCAATTGCAGTATCCAATAAATACACCAAAACTCCCAAAAGAAGTTAACTTATAAAAAAATTTTATTAAAACTTTTCTTTAATTTAAATTAATATTTTATTAATATTTAATTTGCTTAAGGTATGTAATATTTTTACTTTTCAATAAAGCTAGTATTCAAACTAAGAGAACTAATTTCATTTTTTTATATTAAAACGAAAAGCAAACTAAAAGTCTAATTATATTTTTAAGTTAATGCTTAATCTAAATAATTTTGCAGTAATTTAGTAAATTTAATTTTAAAAAGTTGATTTCTGTAAATATGAAAGCAATGAAAAGAATGTAAGGATGTCACTAATCACATTAAACTTGCGATTTGTGCATTTTTATTTATCACAAGACCTTATACAATATAATAAAGCATAATATATAAATATATATATATATATTTATATATATATATATATATATATATATATATATATATATATATATATATATATATATATATATATACATATATATATATATATATATATATATATATATATATATATATATATATATATATATATATATATATATATATATATATATATATATATATATAACAGTAAAAGTGACTTACAAACATTTTTTTTGCTGAACTGCTATATATAAAAGAAAAAAAAAAAGAATTTAAATTGCATTCTTTGCTAAAAAATATATTTATTCAAACATTTTGACACATTCTTAACTTTTTTGTGTTTAACACAAAAACTTACTACAAAAGTAACTATAAATACTATACAACACAATTTTACCTTCTTTAATGTCTAATTTGAACAAACCAATATAAATGGTACAAAGGGCTGTTTCATATGACTCTAATGTTGTCATATTGAAATCACAAGAACAATTTTCAAATAAGAAATGCAAAGAAACTTTTAAATGAGATGATAGCTGGTGCAGATTTCCTTTACTTTGAACAGGGCTAGAACTAATGTCATGCACATAAAAAAAAAAAAAAAAAAAAAAAAAAAAACATTAAAAAATAGGACAAATCATGTTTTAAAAAACCAGTACAAAGCACATTTTTAATACTTTACTTTGAATATAGAGAAACATGAAAACTTATTATTAACCTGTTCTTCTTAATAGCAAGGTAATTTTGGTATTCCGTGATGAAATGCTTGTACCAAAAGTTCATCTCTTCATATATTAAATCCAAATGACAAGTATCTAGTTTTCCATTAAATAGTAATTTATATACATTTTCTTCTTCACCAATCTAGATTTTAAAAAAATTATTTATATTTTGATTGCATAAAAATATAACTTTTATATTAAATTAGTTTTTATGCTTTTTTGATTATAAAGCATTTTTCAATAGCTGTTTAAATAGGGTTGTTTAATAGCTGTCTAAATAAAATCCTATGAATTTTAACTGAATTGCCTATATTTGTTGAATATTCCACATTGAGCTTTCGAAATTTTTTAGACATTACATGTTACTCAAATTCCAAAAATAATTTTAATCACAAAGTACTCAGCATATGCAGCATTTGAATCTCAAACCATTCTATTGGAACTCTCATATGGTGTAGACAGAGTCTTCGTTCTCCATCTTTTGTATGTTCTTTCTTGTTCTGCTTTAATGACTATTTCACTCACTATTATCTTTCAAATGTCATTTGAAAATGCTGAAAGTCTAAACTTATAATCCATATCAAAAATAATTAAAATGGGTTCCAAGATCGACCCAGCAATGTACAGACCAATCTCCCTCAACCCAACATTGCTTAAAAATAATGGAGAAGTCGGTTATTTAATCAAACAACCTTATTTAAATTTTTTTTAACTTTTTTAAGATATTACAAATCTGATTGAATGAACTTTGCAAATGTTAAAAAGTTGATATTAAATTAATTTTATTTGTCAAAGCATTTGACTAAATGCCACATCAGGAAATGCTCTACAAATTAAAAAAATACAGAACCAAAGATAGTCTTAATTCAAAAAAATGCATTCCTGACCAACAGGTTTCAACAAGTCATCCTTAATGACAATCAGTCAAATTGGCTGCCATTGATCAGTCAAATTGGCTTTCATTGATTAGTGGCATTTCACAAGAATCACTATTTGGCCCAATCTTATTTATCATCAAACATCAAAGTAAAGAAAGCTTTAGAGAGAGATTTACACTGAAGAAGCTAAAATCCTCAGCATTGTCAACTCACTTGGTGTTCAACTTTAACTCCAACTAATCGAACCTGAATTTTATTATGACCCAAACTACATTGGAAATAATTATATATATATATATATATATATATATATATATATATATATATATATATATATATATATATATATATATATATATTAATTTGTTAGCTTACTATGTCTAGAGCATGCTTGAAAAAAATTGGCACCCTAGCTTTATGGGATCACCTTGCTACAACTTGATTTCGGAAACTGTGAGAATATGGACGGAGGGGTAGGGGGTGGATGTAAGAGCAAAAAAAAGTTTTCGTTTAGCAAATCACTTTGTTACAATATGGTTATAAAACCGCATAATTTTTATTTAATTTCATCATAAAAATATTATGATATAGAATGAACTAGAAAAGTAAATTATGAATAATAATAAAATTACATTCAGATAAAGTAATAAAAAATAAGAATCAATCACAATCTATATAAAGTATAATATAAACCACAAATTTTAAAGTTTACAAATAATAAAACCGCAAAGTATCATTATTATTAGGACAAGAGAAAAACATGCAAAAGGTCACATGTTTTTTGGTTCAAAAAACCGATTTACTTATGATAAATTTTGTATTTTGAAAATATTATTTATTTTACAAAACCTCATGATAGAATTTGTTTATATTGACAATTTAAAAAGACTGCGTTTGGTACATATAAATATGCAGTTAGACAATTTTTAACAATTATTGAATATTTATATTTTATCTACACTTTTTTTATTTATCAAAAACCAGTATCTAAAGTTTTCATTGCTTTTGGTTTAAAGTTAGTTTAATGCTAGTTTTTTATTAAAAGTACATTCACAAAGTTGTTTATGTTTAGTTATTTTTAATAATAATGTTAAACTAATATTTTTTAAATGTATTTAATGTAATTTTTGAACTATGAGGACCTAGAATAGGTATTTTTAGATTCCGAAATTATAAAATGCAAAAGAATTCTATTAAGAGAAGAAGAGTAAGTGCTCGCGCCAAGGAGCACTTTTTGGTGGGTAAGCCAGCTAAGATGTGTTCCATGAAGCTACCAATGAGGGCTGATGTGATTAAGCAATTTCTTTATCTTAAAAAAAAAGAATGGGCCAAGTTATCAAAATAAACATCTTATATGCTGTCCTCTGAGCTACAAGTTCAGTTTCAATTTATAATTTATACTTTAATTGGCTTAAAATGAACAAAAAACCTACAAAAAAACATATTTATTTATAAGTAAATAACACTTCAATAGCATTGAGGAAAAAAAATATAATGTTATATGTAGTTTCACAAAAATTATATTTGTTGAAAAAAAATGTCTGATAAGTGAGTTTTTTGTCACAAATTCTTCAAAAATTTTTTTTCAGTTTCCAGTGTATTTCTTTTGATACTACTTGAAAAAAGGAATGTGTACTAGGAGCACTTTGGTTTTCATGGCTAAGATCTGGTTTCCCTATGATTGGACCTGTCACCTTGCAAAGAAATATAACAAAATATATTACCAGATATCTGAAGCTCAAGAAAAAACCAAAATAACAGTAAGGCAAGATGTGTGCAATCTCGCACTGACATTTTAAAGACTGGAGGAGGTACTAACTACTTTTTATTCAAAAAGTTATTCATTATCTCTATTGAAATTTACTCCTTTAATTTAAATTAAATAGACCTCAAAATATTTACTTGAATTGTTAATTTTTTATTTAATATAAATATTTTTAAGGACTGTTTTGGCTCAGTAACACAAAGAAAATTTTTATCAAAGCAGTCAAAGTGGACAAAGATAGGCTTCATTCCGACAAGTCTGACTTGCTTTTTCTGAAGGATCAAATGGGAGAAATAAAAATGACGCTTGGGCCTATTGACGAGCGTAGAGCCAAGATAAAACAGAAGAGAAATAGCAGGATTTTGCAAAAAATCATTTGTTCAATCTAGAAGTTTTAAAGTGTGCTCTACTGATGGTGTACATCTACCTAAAACAATTTCTTCAGAACCAAGTTCAGAGTTCAAATTAATTTTATTTGTCAAAGCATTTGACTGAATCAGAAAATAATTACATGAACTGTTCAATAAGGAGTTTTAAAAATCAAGAACAAACCATTGTTATCAACCAAGAAGTTATTAAAGAAACTATGAGAACAGCTATAGGCATGGATATAACAGCTCATAAAATTACAGCAACCCTGATAAAGCTTTTCATCGCAGCTGGAGGTGATCCAAATAAGTTGCCCCTTTCTTATACTTCAGCTTTTCAAATGAAAAACAATATTATTAACAAAGATGCTGAAAATAATAAGATTTTGATAAAAAAAGAGATTGAACAGGGTAAGGTGAAAATTCAGCTACACTTTGACGGAAAGTTAATCAAAGTTTGCATATATTTAATTTTAACTGATTTTTTTTTTTTTTTTCCAATTATTCACCTCCCCAAGGCCCGAGGGGGCCACTACAATCAAGGAGGATACTTTTTTTTTTTTTTTTTTTTTTTTGTTGTTGTAAATTGTGGTACAACCCTCTCTTAACTCTTTAACTCCGAAACACGAACCTTGACAAGCAAGGCCGCAGCGCAGAAAAATTAAGTATTAATTGAAAACAACTGTTTTTCATACATCGTTAATCTAATCCTAGTTCTAGGACTTGATATCAAATAACGGTGATGTTGCAATTGATAGGATTTATGTTCTTGTGAGAGCTAGAGGTACTGATCATCTACTTGGCGCTCCAAGAGTTCATTCTGGTACAGGGCTAAATCATTTCAAGGCTATCAAAGAAATTTTGAAAGAGTTTGAAATTGCTGATCACGTAAGGATGGTCTGCTTTGATACTAATGCTATCAATACTAGAATGATTCATGGTGCTATATACAGGTGAACTGTTTTTCAATATAATTTAAAAAAAGGACTCTAAAAGATAATTAAAATAAACAATTTAGTTATAATCTCAACTATTCAGACTGTGAAACGATGTTGGTAAACCATTGTTGATGCTTGCTTGTAGACATCATGTTTAAGAAGTCATATTAAAACATTATTGGCTAGCAGTTACCATAGACAAAACCATAGGACCTGACAACGCACTCTTTAAAGGCTTGAAAAGTAAGTGGAATGATATTGATGTGAAAAACTGTTTCATCACTCACTTCAAATGACAATCTATTTATGATTATTGGTTTAATGAACAAGCAGAAAAAGCAAGAAAATGTTTAATGACAATTGTGAATGAAAGAGTCTTCAAAAACTCTCAAGTAAACTTTTCTAAACATTTAAATCTTCAAGTTTGAATACAAAAAAATAATGAATGAAATTAAATATCCGCATTAAACTTTTTTAGAGACACGAGAAGAGAGCAGACTACCAGGAGCTGCTGAGCTAGCTCTCATGTTCTTGGAACCGACATTCAAGCCTCTCAACATACACAAGCCTGGAGCAGTACATCATGCTCGTTTTATGGCAAAGAGTATCTACTATCTAAAAATAATGCTTCTTCTTAATTCGACCAAGCAAATCCTAAAATTGAGCCAGGAGAAGATTAATGAGGTGAAAAAGATGGCAATTTTTATTTCAATTTTCTATGCTCCTCAATTTCTGAGAGCTGAAAAATCAGATACAGCTGCAATCCAAGTTAGTTTTTTAGCCTTTGATGCAAATAATTATAGTTAAATTTTAGCATTATTATTTGATAAAATAGTGTACCCAAATTGTATTGAAATTTTAATATTGCAGGACCAGCACTTTATCTGGCACATGGCCCACTTGGAGAAGTTTGATGTAGCTGCAGCTTCAGTCTTCAAAAAGTGGGGCAAACACAGCTGATACGTAGATCCCACTACTGATATTTTTGCCCTAGCCAATTCAGATCAGTCTGTGTCTGACATTACAAAGGAAGAAATGGCTAGAAAGCTAGTACAGTATCCTTAAATAAACAAGTATGATTTTGAAAGAAAGAGCAATTCCGTTTTTATTCCACAAAAGACCAATTTTCTCAAACTCACCGAGCCATCTTCACTCGTTAATTATGTAGGAGCTAAGTAATGGTTAGTGTTTAATATACTTGAACACACTGAAAGACATGTTGAGTGGCTTTTTTATTCTTCGTCTACATGAAATATAGATCCAGATTTTATTGCTTTTCAACTATTTGTTGAAAGCTTGGCAGTTGTTGATAATGCATCAGAGAGAGCCGTAAAAGCAATTCAGGAGGTTATTTCACAGACAAATGACAAGAAACTGCAGAAAATGTTAATAGTCAAGAATAAAATAAAAAAAATAATTTCACGCACTAAAGCAGCATATAAAGAGGCAGTGGAACAGGTAATCCTGCTGAAAAGCTAAGCCTTAGGTACGAATATGAATGTCTTGAGGAGACGGAGGACAAGTTATCACTATCTAGTACTTGTGATTTTGACAGTAGCTTGGATATTGTTGATGAAGATGATGTGATTGAGACTATCGAGGCAAAAACAAGGTCTTTAATAATGCAGAAACCTAAATCTATATTTTAAGTTAATATTTTTTTTAATGTTATCATTTATTTTTCTGAAGCACAAAAGAAGGGGGGGGGGGGAGGAAAAGGCACAGGAAAAAATTATCCATACATGCCCCTTCCTGTTTTGGTAAAGAGACATCAATATGTTTTTTATAATATGTTTTATTTTGGTAGCCATAAGGAGGTTGTACAAAACTCTTTAGATCTATATAACTGCTGCAACACCTTACTATAAAATCTTGACTGAATTTTGAGCTACGGTATTACTTATTATGGTGGTATTATTTATTGGTGGAGGTATATTACGGTATTATTTATTGGTGGAGGTTTTACTTTTTTTTTTTTAATTTTTTTTTAGATGTTTTTATATTTATACAGTTTCAACTTAAATTAAAATAAAAAAAAATTGTTTCCCCTTGCCCCCCTCCCTTCCATCCATACTCTCACGGTTTCCGAAATCAAGTTGTAGCAAGGTAATCCCATAAAGCTAGGGTGCCAATTTTTTTCAAGCATGCTCTAGACATAGTAAGCTAACAAATAAATCATATACATGTTTGTATGTATCTTAGATCTCTAGAAAATTTCAATCTTGTAAAAAGTTACAAATTTTGAAAAACTTTGGTTGGGTGTAGCTAGGTGAAATTTTTTTTTTAAAAAAAAATCAAAATATTATCTTTAAATCACTCAAGATTACACATCTTTTTAGCTTGCATACATGTTCCAAAAAAAAAATTTGTAAAATTTGAACACCCCTAATATACAGACAGATATCTTTTATATAACACATGCTAAACAAATTATAGTGGAGTGATGTTTTTACATAAATTTTTATTTTTCATTTTTATAATGGCAAAACAGTCACAGTTCACAATTGATAAACAAAGTGCAATCAGCACACTTAAGGTTGAAGGGTATAGCGAAAGAAAATTCTACATAATAATAAAAAAATCTACATAATAAATACTGATAAAATATTTTAATGAAAGAACAACAGATATAAATAAAGAACAACAAAAAAACTTACATTAAGCTCCAATGTTAATTGTTTTAATAAAAATATTTTACAAATTTTTGATTCATTTACAACTAAACCTAAAAAAAAGATTTTAAATAAAAATTTACATTTTATATATATTATAATTTCTATACATTTTATCAATATCTTTATCTTATATATATATATATATATATATATATATATATATATATATATATATATATATATATATATATATATATATATATATATATATATATATATATATGCAAATTAGTTTTTAAAATTTTACCAAGAAGATCTAAAGCTGCTTCTAAATGACCATCATCAAGCCTCTGCCATGAAAGTACACAATTCCAGTCTGTTTCTAATTCTCTACAAAACATTAACAGTAGATGAAAAATTTTATATTCATATTATTTTGATTAATTCCATATTAAAAAGCCACAACAAAAAACTGGTATTACTGGTTTTACCTGCCACAGTTACTACGATATATTACTTTGATATTATTTAGTGATAATGAGATCTAAAACAAACAAAAAGATAAATATTCACTAAAAATTTGTTCCCATAAACAAGATTACAAAGCAAATGCATAAAAAAATGCTTGTCTGATATTCTGGTATGAAACCATGACAAGTCCAATTTTTTTTTTTTTTTTTTTTTAATTTGGACTGTAACCACTATTTAGAGTAGGAAGTTGTCAAGTAACCACTATTTAGAGTAGGAAGTTACTGGAAAAGAAAAGATGAAACTTATAGAGGAAGATAATGATTAACAGATGACTTAAAAGATTGGAAAATATATGAATCAGACAAACAAGATGAAGGATGTAAATTCAAAAGAACTGATGTTCGAGGAAAAAATCTAGATGAATAAGAGTTTTTGGAGCACACAGGAACAGTCACAGAAAAATGATGAGACTTAATTAAATGACAAGTAACATGAGAATGAATTTTAGTAAACGGCACAAGAGACGTAAGCTTTTTGGAGCAGTGCCTAATATAGTATTTATAGAAAAGAGAAAGACAAGCAACATTACGATGATGTGATCAAAATAATAATAAGATCGAAAGTAAGAGTTAATCCTTGAAAACGAAGGGTAGTTGACTCATCAAGTACTTTAATGTTCATAAATATAAGATCTAGATTATTGCGGTAACGATTAGCTGAAAAAAGTAATTTATCTGTTTTATCTGAGTTAAAGTTCACCAGCCACTTGAAGCCCCATGCTGTAGCAGAAAAGAGGTCCTTTTTAAGCCCCTCCAAGCAATTAGAAAGTATTGGCTTCTTATCAAGACTAAATAAATAATAAATGTATCATCAGCCAACAATTCGACCTTGGATGTGAGAATTTCTGGGAGATCGTTGATGTAAATTTAAAAAAGTATAGGGCCAAAGATAGCCCTTGACGAACTCCTGAAGTGACAGGATATGAATAAGAGTGCTGTCCATCAAGGACAACATTTATACTTCAATTGGTAAGGAAGATTTCAATAATCTTAAAGATGTTAACTGATACAATGAAAGAGTAAAGCTAATGAAGATCGGTATACAAACTTTATTAAAAGCTTTAGAAATCTTAAGACCCCTAGCCTATCCACATCTAGCAGTAGAACAAGAAGATTGAAATCCATATTGATGATAAGAAAGTAAGTTTATAGATTCAACATGAGAGATAAAATGTTTGTTAATTAAAGACTCAAAAACTTTGCTTATGATGGTAAGAAGGCTAATGGGACAGTAGTTAGACAAGTCAGATCGCTCTCCAGAGTTTTTGAAAATAGGGATAAAAAATGCCGCTTCCCAACAGGCTTGAATACTATAAATAGTTGCTAAAAAATGCCGCTTCAAATACTATAAATAGTTTTGAAAGTATAGACAACAACTCTGGAGAACACTTCTGCAAGACTATAACTGTTATCCGGACCAAAAGTTGTAGAAGAATCTAAACAGGAAATTACTTTGGGTAAAGAAGCTGGAGTGATACGAAAGGCAATCAACTAACCAGTTTGTCAGCGATATCAGGTAGAACGCAACTAGTGGAATCAAGAAATGATATAGATAAGAAGTTCTTAGCAAACAGTTCAGCCTTGTTTTTTAGATGAGGTGACAAAATCTGAACCATACAAGACAGATGGAATAACAGATTCTCTCTTATTAAAGACTGTTAAAGATTCTCCAGAAGTCAGGAAATCCTAGTTTTTGAGATGAAATTTGAGATTTCGTGACCTGAGAATAGCAGACTTTTTGAATTGGTTTTTAGCAGTAGTAAACAGATGTCTGTTTTTTGGAGAATTGTTTTGGTAATGGTTTTGAAAGTAATGGTTAAGAAATTGCAGCAGCACAATGAGAGGATATCCATGAAGAAGAATGAAGCTTGACTTGGAATTGTAGAGAGGGAATAAAGAACTCCATGCCAGCCTGAACCCAAGAAGTTACATAAGAAGCACATTTGTCAGCAGGAAGACGAAAGATTTCTACCCAAAGACTGTCTCGAAGTATTTCATGGAAAGAGTCCTAGTCAGTTTTAAGGTAGTTGTAAGAGGTATAATGATAGGGGGACTCTAATGATGAAGAAGAATGAGATAATAATTTTAGAGAGATCAAACTGTGATCAGAAGTGCCTAAGGATGAATGTGAAGGAATTGAACACTGACTAGGATCAGAAACAAGGCATAAGTCGAGAAGAGAAGGTAAATGATTTGGATTGTCTGGAAAGCGAGTTGGAAAGTTGATTATTTGTGGTAAAAATTGAGAAAAACAAAAGTTGTGGGCCTTAACACCTGTAGAGTCACTGACACCAGAGCCAAGCCATTCAGTGTGATGAGCACCAACAACAACGATATTGCTTGAAAGATAAAGAGAAAGAGCTTGGTCAATTTGACCAGAAATAACACTATTGAATAGTTCAAAAAATTGCTTTCGTTACTATTAATAAACCCTAAGCCGTAACAAAGGGGTCCAAATGTAGCCTCAACAATTCACACCAAAAGTACGAACAGGGACACCATCCATGCGCAACATGGCACTGTTAGTAGTCTGATACTTTACAGCTGTTGATGGAATCAGCTTCTTTGAGAGCTACCACTAAGTTCGGGTAACCTGACTACCAGCCGGCCTCAGAACCATTAAACTGATTTATAGAACTGTACCCTCATTAAGAAATAATAGAATAAGTTGCTTAGTCATAAAAACAGAGACACAAGCAAAGCCCATTGAGTTAAGAAGATCCACCATTCAACATGTTGTTGGGTGCAAGGCTGGTTAACAGATAGAATTTGTTTACCCCTTAAGTCTTTACCTAGGAGGCCTTCTACAAGGATGTAGAAGGCCTCCTAGGCAATGATGTGTTTAACATTTGAATCGAATTACATAACAAAAATCTGTTTTTAGATTTTTGATTTTGAAACCATTTAAACAAAAGTTCTAAAAGAAAATTGGCAAGATATGATTGGTTAATGAGAATATTAATTAGTTAAGCTACCTTGGAAAAACAGACAATAAACAATAAATCATGTTTAAATTTTTCACTTTTTAAATTGTTCACATACTTTTTCAAGATTCAAACATTTTTTTTTACCTTTGGAATTTGACATAATGACTGAAACAACAACTTCGAATCATTGTCTTCTTTTTTACTATTTACATCTAACTTTATATTTGCTGATTCTAGAAAAAATATTACAAAATATTATTATCATAAATATTTAAAAATTGCAATATAAAATAATAAAAAGTAAAAAAATACTTTAAACAATTAAAAGCAATTTTATAAACTAAAACTTTTAAAAAAAGAAACAAAAAAAAAAAAAAACCTGAAAAATGTTGCTTCTTATTGAGAAAAATAAAATGCTTAACCATATCTAAACAAAATTCAAAAAAAAGATTTTTATAAATTACCTTTTGCTATTTTATATTTATTGAATAATGTTATTGTACTATAGACTACTTATTTTTATTGTGTATATCTTTTAATTTTCTTGAATATTATAACATTAATATATTTCAAATATAACTTTTAATAGATAATATTCTAGACAAGTAACACCACAAAAAAAAAATCACTACTCAAATAGAATGTTATTTTCAAAGCAATTTGAGGTCACTTAATTTGGTTTTGACCTTTTTTTTGGTATAACATCTCAGAACTTTGAAATACAATACCCTATAAAACATCTCAAATTTTGAGATACAATATGCTTGATAACATCTCAGAACTTTGAGATGTTTAAATCCAATGAGTTTGAAAATATTATGTATACACCGTTGTTTTTTGTATTAATTTACTCTTAATGTATTTGTTATCAAAAATATAAATATGGTTAAAAGAAAATAAAACATTTTTTTAATTTATGTGATTTTATTGTTCATATTATATTGATTCAAATATTACCTGTAGTATTGTATAAATCTTTATTACCTTTTGTTTTTTAGCTATTATAGTCAATTAATGTCTAACAGCTGCATTTATAAGAACAGTCTGGATAGCTTTTTTGCTACAATTGTGACTAACTGTGAGTAATTTAATAAAATTTAATAAAATAAACTAATTTAAAATCTAATAAAATTAACTAATTGTGACTAATTTAATAAAATTTAAATTCATAAAACAATATCTCTTAAGCTGAAAGTGACATACTATATGTATTTTATTTGCAAAGTGGTTGATCAAAGTAAGCAAGGCTATACATTGTTGTACATGTTACACTGCTACACCAGAGCTTGAATTAACAAACAAAAATAGTAATAATAAACAAAAAAAAAACAAAAAAAAAAAAACAAATCTTGATATCACTTTAAATAAAAAGTAAATATAAAAAATGGTATTGCATTTTTATTTTCTATTCAAGATATCTTGTTAAAATGATTTTTAGTTAAAAGCTTATTATGTGTTAACAACATATAATATATAAATAAACGCTTGTATGGTTAACTTTAGCGAGTCATTGAGTATGTGAAAAATATTTAATAATGTAAAGTAAATTTAATAGTTAAGTAACTTAACTGGTTGTTTTAATTTAGTTTATGGGTAAATTTACTGTGATATACAGTATTGGACAAAACATTTGCAACCAGCATCGAACAATGCTAAAAAATGTTCCTAATTTTACATGTCTTAAAAACGAAACGAACTGTACTACCACAGCAATAAGTTCAGAAGTCTGGAGTCATAGCATGCCATGACTTGAGCAATCAGCTGACAGGTGACAGCACACAGGCAGAATTTCATTGACAAGTGCCATTTTGCAGCAGACAAAACAAGTGCAACTTTTTTGGTTTGTTTCATTTTCTTAAGTCTGGTCCGCATCAACGTCACTGAAGTTTTTTAATAATTAAAGGAATATCTAGAAGTATCCAGAAGCATGCAGAAGCTTCCATAAGTTTCCAGAAGAAGCATCTGGAAGCATCCAGAAACATCCAGAAGTATCCAGAAACATTTAGTAGCATCCAGATGCATCTAGAAGCTTCCAGAGGCATCGAAAAGAAGCATCTAGAATCTTCCAGAACAGGTTCACACAGGTATATTTTACTATATAAGAGACGTAAACCAACAAGTAATTCAGTCAGTATATGGAAGTCAATCAGTCAGTATTATCAAGACAGTTTATCGAAGTGATTTTTATCAAAGCGTTTTATCGAAGAATATCAATACAGTCCACATCTAACAAATCCAATGTTGTGTTCCACAGAGCATTATTGTATCATCACAAGGTAAATGTAACACAGTAAGCTTTGAGAAGCGTGAATATTTATTTTTATTATTTTTATGACTTCAAGTGCAAATTGAAGTCACAAAGAAAATTAATGGCTCCTGACTGTCTTGGATTGGAACTAAGAAAGAAAATTATTGGCGATTAAAAAAAACGATTTTTTTTAAAACGATTATTTTCTTTTACTCGACTAGATTATTTATTTATTAGTCGAGAAGGAAACATTGTAATAGCATAGCTAATTGAGATGAGTTCCCTTAATACTGAAATACTACTCATATGCTAAGTAGACGGAGCCGGGATTTGAACCTGCAATCCTGCTGCTCAGCCAAAAATTATTCCGAACTTTATAGCAGCGCTTTAACCAACTGAGCTATCCCGGCTCAAATTACGTAAGTGGAATTTCACAAAAAAGTATTTGTGATGAATATCGCGTGAAAAAAATTATCATATCAAGACTATGTTCCAAATATCGTTCTACGGGGAAGTTGGCAGCAGATAACAAAGGTGGAAGACCATGTTCCACCACTTCTGGAGAGGATTCTATGATCGTCAGATCCATCAAGAAGGATCTCTAGATATCATCAGTCGAGATACAAAAGCAATTAGAGCTGCCTGTATCGGACCAAACAACCAGACGACATGCTGTTGAAGCCGGATTCTTTTCTCGAAGCCCTGCAAAGAAACCGCTGATTTCACTAAAGAACCAGAAGAAAAGACTCCTGTTTGCAACATCTCATATTGACTGGAATGTGCAGAAATAACGAACTGCTCTGTTCAGTGATGAATCGAAGTTCAACATTATTGGGAGTGATGGCATTTGCTGTGTACGTCGACCATCTGGAAAACGCCTCGATTTACGTTATAGCTTTTATTTAAAAGATAATTTTTTTTTGTCTTTATGACAACTAATAAAAAACTTTCTATACTTTTAAGAATGGCAAAAAAACCAGCTTAAATAGAAAAGAAAAAAAAATAGCAAAAAAATAAAAAATAACAATAAAAAGTTGCAAAAGTATATTTTTGAAAAAAATACTTTAGCATGTGAAAAAGGTTTGAAAAGCAATACGTTTAATTCGATACACTTAACTTGAGCCCTGTACACATCTTTTCTTTATCGGCTTAATGGAATATCCAAATTAATATCATTAGCAGTACTTATAGTGTGGTATGAACTTTATCAGACTGATTTGAAATATACTATGCAAAAGGTAAATAAACACTTTATGTAATTAAAACCAACAAAAAAACATGTGCAAATGTATAAATAGCTAAAGAGTTGTAAGGGCTCAGCACTTAAGAAGTTGCTTAGTCTGGAAACTAAACCCGAATGGAAGAGTAAAATGAACTGCCTACTCTGTAGTAGCAGAGAAAAAAGTACAATTATGGCTAAAAAGATCTAACCACCCAATATTTATAGCTATGCTATAACTGTGCAGGCAAGAACTTGACTTTTGTATATCCTTCACACCAAACAATGTATTATAATTCAATTTTTGGAAAATTTTCTTTAATTAATGCCACCTGTTGACTTCATGCGATGAATGAAATCATGAACAGATGTCTTAGACAGCACATCATTTGTATATACTTGTGCATGTTTTGTGATATATAATTGTAATACTATACTATATGATACTATAATAATTTAACATAATACTATACTATATAATTGTAATATATATCACAACTGTAGTTTAGTATATCACAACTGATTTGCAATATATCACAAATTAAATTAAAAAAATTAATTTACCTTTGAAAATGAAAACATATAATATATGTAATAATTATATTGAATCATATAAACTTCAATATAATTGAAATATAATATAGTTCAAATGAGTAAGCAATGAGCAACACCATTATGTAGATCTTACTGGATAAAAAAGTATAGAATTGCATTCTTAGTAAAAAAAAATTCAATATTAGTTTAACCCTTAAAAAATTTGATTTTTTCCAAATATCTTAGTCCCAGTCCCCAAACATCCGTCAAATCAAAACTTGATTTATCACTAATTTTCATAACAGCATGCCGTTCCATAACAGCCAGCCTTTTTTGTAATTTCAGAGCTAAACTTTCAGTGACAGTTTGTGGTTGAAGGGACTATATAACTTATATTGTAAATAAACTCTACAAAAAAGCAACTTACCTTCATTTATACATACATGAAACTTATTCACTATTATCTTGCTGCACTAAAAATTTAAAAAATTATTCATATTATTATATGTATTATCATATCGTATTATTCAATACTTAAATCATTTAAAACATCTTTTTCATAAAAATTTACAATATATATATATATATATATATATATATATATATATATATATATATATATATATATATATATATATATATATATATATATATATATATATATATATATATATATATATATATATATATATATATATTCCATTAGCTTACCATATTACTTATTGGTTTGCCAGGAAACAAAAAACCATTGATACTAATATCATGGTCTGTAAAAAACATTGGGGAATCGTCATGAAGAGCTGTTAACTTACAGCTAATTAAATCAGCTTTAAGACATAAGCTGAAAAAAAACATAAAAAATTATTTTCTTTTAGTAATTTTTTATTATCATAAAAATAAAAATAATAAAATTTATGATAATTAGATAATATTATTTAGTTAAAAAAAAGTAATATTATTTAAACAATATTATTTAGTTAAAGTAATGGAAACTACTTGAATTCTGTTCAATGAAGTAAAAATAATGGTGAGGTTTTCTTATCAAAAAGTAAGAAAAGTTTGAACCCATGGTAAACATGAGCTGAACTAAGATATGCGGATAATTCGAAATTGAATGTTGGACTTATGTTACATTTATATAAAAATTATTAAATGATGATTATGTTAAATAAAAATCTATTTTAGATCTTATGTTTGATTATTTATGTTAAATAAAAATCTATTCTTGTGAAAGTTTAAAATTTCGACAAAAAAGAGTAAAAGAAAAATTTTTACACGAATTTTTTATTCCTATGTTTTTATACAAAATGATTTATCTTATATATTAATATATTATATTATTATTATTATATATATTATTATAAATATATTAATATAAAATATATACTTATATATTTATGAATTATTTTTAAAACTTTTATAACTTTTTATCAAATTAAAAAAAAAAAAAATATTCACTAAAATAACATTTTAAAAAATTATTTAAGAAATTAAACTAAATTTATTTTGTCATTAAATCTTTCTATAAATAAATTTACGATACACAATTATTTAAAATATGTTAATTATGTATTCAGCGGACCCTCTATAAATATCACACTAAAAAAATTCAATTTTATTTGTTTTAAATTATTTCCTTCAAAACTTATATCAATTTTTAATACTCAAATATATATTTTCTTAATATTGTTTTAAACAAAGAAAAACTACTTTCCTCATCTGTTGTGGGTTTGAGTAAACAAGATTTGATTACTTATATAATAGTTATAACTGATACCTCTTTAAATTTAAATTAAAAAAAGAAAACATTGTATTTTAATATATTTAACTCAAAAACATTATTTTTATACATATTTTAATATTAAATATTATTTTTTTAATACCTCTTAGAACTTGTCTCAACTTTAAGTTTTATTTCTGCTGACCATACAAATGATATTTCAGATACACACACTGCAACAACAAGACTTTCAACTTTTATTGAAACAAACTAAATATTAAAGACTTCTGTAATAACCATGTTGTATTAACAGAGTATTTATGAATTTATATAAAACTTTGGTTTAAAACAAGCTTAATAATAATTATATTTAAACATACACAAACTAAACATATTTGTAATTCAAACAATTTAAAATTCAAGTAATTGAAACAACTTAAAAATAAATATTTGGAAAAAAATGAAATTTAACAAACTTGCATAGTTATTAATGTGCTTTTACCTGTTATTAGTTGTTGTTATTACTTAAACTTGTTATTACTTATCAATTTACCTGCAATAAGAAAATCCAAGAGCTGGTGCCAATGTTTTTTTTAAACACACTGTCTAAAAGCGAAAAAAATTTGTGATGTTAAACCATATGTGACAAAATAAATACAAAAAAAAATATTTAACAATAATATCGTTTATGAAAAAAAGATTAAGCAAAGAATTGCAGTTAGGGTTAAAAATTTAAAAAAAAATTATATTAAAAAGAGAATAATAATACTAAAAAAAATTAAATAATAGCATAATATTGTATTAAATGTTGTAGTTAATACAGTTAACGTATAGCCTATACTATGTTCCTTACAAAATACGCGGCATAAGTATCTTACGAGATACAACACTGGTTATTTAAAATTTTAGTTTTTACATAGATTGAGACCTAACTTTAACAAACAATAGAGTTTTTTAAGAGTGTTGTATATATAATTGCATATATATTTGACAATATTATTAGTAAATAAAGATTAATGTGTGATTATGTGTGTACTTTTTTAAAACAAATTAAAACAGATAAAACTTAAATCATAATTTTTATAAACTGTTATAAACGGTTAACTAAACAAAATGGTTTACCAAACAAAAAGGTTAAGTAAACTAAATGGATAACCAAATTAAAAGAATAATTAAACAAAATGGTTGACTAAACTAAAAAGTTAACTAAACTAAATGGTAAACCAAACAATACTGTTAACTAAACTAAATGATTAAATAAACTGACCAGGTTAAGTAAACAGTTAATCAAACTAAACATTAACCTTGTTACAGTGCATAGTATAAACACTATACAATGTATGACATTTTAGTGCTAATAAACAATACTTAGGAAAGTCAAAATTTATTTTCCATTTGAAAGAGACTATAAGGAGTAGTTAGAAAAAAAAATTTATATTGAAAAAAATAAAAAAAACTATCAGCACAATAAACGCTTTGGCTTAAACTAAATATTTCAATGATCCATTTAATCCGATAAAAATGGAAAAATTTGTATGAAAAACAACTTCAAAATATAAAAAAATATTCATTTATAAAATTTGTTTATTATTCAAACTCAATAAACTATATTCAAAGATAGTTTAACATTCTGTAAATAACTATTGCCTACTAGCATTGCTCATGGTTGATGCTTTTAGAAACAAATATTTCATAACAGGAAGAAAAAAACTATTGATTTAAGTACATTAATTTTTAAAAATTGTCAAGTGTAAAATGATCGTAATAAGAAGCTCCAAATCAAATAACATCCAATATTATATAAACAAATATTTCATAACAGGAAGAAAAAAACTATTGATTTAAGTACATTAATTTTTAAAAATTGTCAAGTGTAAAATGATCGTAAAAAGAAGCTCCAAATCAAATAACATCCAATATTATAATTTAAAACAATCATAACTAAATACTATATAAAAATATAATGAAAAGTTAAAATTTACTTTTTTATTTAACTAAGTTTGGGAATTATTAGAAAAAAAAAAACTATTGAAACATTAATACCTCTATTGACAGGTGAATTTTCATTATTTTCTTTGCTTTGTTTATGACGTGAATATTTTAAAATAGTTAATGTTGTTGGTCCAACTAAAATTGTTAGCAGCTGGCTAAAAATTATAAATAGATACTAACAAGATAGTAACAGTAAATGTCAGTAATAAATGTGATAGTAACAAGATACTAACAGGATAGTAACAGTAAAAGGTAGTAGATACATATACTAGTAAGAAGGTAGTTTATACTAGAAAGGTGGTAGTATATACTAGTAAAACAGTAGTATTAAAATAAAATTTCAAAATTATATATAACAACTCATTGATCATCTTTTTTCGCTTTCTTTCTAATACAAAACAATTTACTTACTCGCAATTTGGATTGAATACAAAACAATTTACTTACTCGCAATTTGGATTGAATAGCTTCGAACTAATCTTCAAATATTCAATGCTCTGGAAGAAAAGGATTTAAAACTTTAATTAAATTTTTTTAAATTAAAATTTAGTGAAAATGTTAAAAGAATATTTACTTAATTTTTTTTTTATTAAACAATTTTATTATCAATTTAGTTACAAAAAAAGAGAATATGAACCTTTTGCATAGCTAGTACCAATCAGCTAAATAAAACTATTTAAAAAGCAATTGAATTTATATAAATTTGGTTTCCTACTATTGCATTATGTAAAAAAATTTGGTTTCCTACTAGAAAATTTGCTTTTAGAAAAATCAGTTTTAAAACATTTTTTTAAAACATTAATTTATTTAAAACATTAACCTTTGTAAACAAATAATAATAGTTTACAGCTTTGTAAATGTGGCTCCGAGAATGAGCCATAGTATTGATAATATATTCTTAAAATAATTTATGTTAGATGTCTCAAAACATAACAAATTGTGAATAATACTAATTTTAAAACATTTCAATAGAATACTCTAAAACTTTATTTTGCTTAGTCAACATATTTTAACGAACAAACTAATAGAATTAGTTTGTTCGTTAATTTGGCGGGTTTTTAGTGTTTGTGAATATTCTTTTTATTCTTTCGTATCAAAATGTTTTGCGAATATTTAAGTTTTTTATGTTTCCATGTATGTCCGTAAAACAAAAATTTTTTGTTTCATACATAAACTTAAATGTTCTCAAAATGGCTAAAAAACCTGGCCAGTTTTTTGCAACTAAATATAATTTCCGTGGCCAGTATTCGAGAGAATACTCGAATACTAGCCACGCTCCCGCTTCCTGACCAAGCCTGCCAAATCCCAATAAAAAAGAGAGACTATTCATTTATTGCCTTCAAAGCTAATGGAAAGCTGTACGAATTTAAAAAACTCCCATTTGGATGCACAAATGTAGTAGCCATCTTTTAACGCATCATGGATAATTTTGTCTCAAAATACCAACTACAAAAAACTTACCCTTATCTAGATGACGTTCAATCTAATTCTATCTTCTAGATCTAATCAAGAAGAACAAGACAAAAACTTCTCAGCATTTAAAATAGCAGCAAACGATTTTGAAATGAAAATGAACAAGGAAAAGTGTAAGTTTACTCAAACCTTACTGTTTTCTTGGACACCTAATAGAAAACAGAACACTGAAACCAGATCCCGAAAGGTTTCAGGCCTTACAACATTATCCTATTCCAACTAACATTAAAGGGATCCCAAACTCCCAACACATGTTGTGTTCATATTAAAGATGATGTTAAAAAAAAAGATTTGAACCAAGTTTTTTTGATTAAAAATAAATAATGAATGCATACCAAGAAAAACTAATGTTGTTGTTTTAACCGAAGCTCGCCTTCTCATTTTATTCAATAACTCAGAGTCTTTAAATTATATGTCACAATCTACAGACTTTGGCAATATCTTTGAAGCGCGTTTAATTCATAAAAGTTTTAGTATTTATACATCACAGTAAACTTTTAACAAATGAAAAGTGTAATTACACAAAGCTGCGTTTTTGTACTTTAATTCAAAAAGTACGATGTAGTATTTTTTTAACATACAGCAAAACAAATTTATTTGCATTATTTTTCCAAATATTGCAAAAAAAATTTTGTAAAAAGTAAAAACAATAAATATTTTTATTTTATTGGAGGAACTAATTTTTTACAGATATCTTAATAAATTTTGGATTTATATATCTTACTTATATTTATTTTGTTTTTAAATTTAAAAAAAATATTAAAGCTTTACTTACCAATCTTATGATTTTCATACGAGTATTTTACATTATATAGAACGTTTTATATACAGTCTCTCGTTTTTGTGCAAAAGAGCGCAGTATTATATATTATGATTCTTACTTATTTTTATTTAAACAAAGGGAACAATTTTCTAACTTCTCTGGTTATTTTTACGCTATGACATTTTTTGTTTTTCCGTCGAAAAAAGTAATTGTTTATGAAAGTAATTGTTTATTTATTAACAATTACTTTCATAAACTGGTAGTGATAATTTAAGATATTTGATGAATTGTTAACTTTTTTTATAATAAAATCTTTTTGATTACGCTAATTTAATTGCTAAATTTGCCTAATTGGATACGGATAAAAAGGAAATATCATTTTATTTTACATTTGATTTTTGACAATGAAACTTTTAAAAAGTCGGCAACTCTATACCAATTATAACCTGTTAAGGTTATGAAAAAAAAGTACAAGAATACACTAAACAATACAGTTGACAGTAGTATCAGATTTGAAAATTTGTGAAATGATATGCATACAATTAATACAAGTCGGAATTATAAACTTTGATTATAAGTTTACTGTTCAATATTTTATAACCATCAAATTAAAACATGAAGTTCGAATATTTTCGCCCGTTTTATACAATTAATATTTAACAAAAATACAGACAAATCATTATTAAATAACGCAATAATTAACACATTAATTAATGGCAATAATTCAAGATAGATAGTAATTTAAATTGTCAAAATATCATAACACGCCTTAAAAACCATATTATATTTGGTATTTCCAAATTTGTGTCGTATTTAGCATTTGTCTCAACATAAAAAATTTTAAAAACACAATTAACAAATACAAATTTTCAAGCAATTTCCTTTTCCAATTCTCATTTATTAAAAGAAAAGTTACTATTAAACTTTTATATCTCTCATCTAAAAAAAGAACAAATCACGCAAAAAAATATTCTAGACAACTCTTATTCAAAGTTTAATTATGCGAAACTTTTCTTTCTCTTTTGTTCTACTCTTTTATAAAAAGAGCGCGCGATAAAATAAAAACTTTTCTTTCCTAACATAAAATTATAATTAGAGATAAAATTAAATTAGAAATAAATCAACAATGAGCAAAGCAAGTAACAGATTAATCTGGGACTATTTTGATATTAATGAAAATAATCAACATAAACAACACAATATCGCATAATTTTAGGCGCTTTTTATTTTTTTGCTTAGTCGTTCTAAATAACAAGTAAATTTAGTTCGAGTTGATATTTCAATAATTACAGTTGCAATATAATATGCACCAACCTCACTACCATTCTGACTAATTCTCGTGACTCAATTAGCAAAAATATCCCTCTTTCAGAGGAAGCTACCACTGCCATTAAAAAACTAAAAGACCAACTAACCACATCATCTTTAGTGATACCTTACCCAAATATTCCACTTAAAATCGAAACTGACGCTTCTCAAACTGCTATTGGTGGAACACTAAGTCAAGAAGGAAGACTTATTGCATTCTTCTCCAGAGTCCTATCAAGGCCTGAAAGTCGCCATTGAGAGTCATACAACGAGAAGCAATGGCTATTATGAAATGTTGTGGTCAATGGAAACACCTACTATTTTCCGCTCCGAAATTCAATATTTTAACCGATCAAAAAGTTGTTTCCTTCCTTTTTAATCCAGGACAAATTTCTAAAATAAAGTGACAAACTTACAAGATGGCGTTAGAACTATTTGAGTATCGCTTCAATATTTCATATAGATCTGGACCAGAAAATATTGCAGCGGAAACATTCTCTAGATGTCTTGCCATAAATACCAATCTTAGTACACTACAACAACTACATATCAAACTATGCCACCCAGGAGTAACATGATTGAACCACTACTGCAAGACACAGAATTTACCCTACACTATCAGGGAAATAAAAGACATAATTTCTGACTGTCAGGTATGCTGTGAGCTCAAACCAAATTTTTTTCAACCCCCGCCTAGTCAACTGATCTCCTCTACTAGACCATGGGAAAGACTTGCTATGGTTTTTGTTGGCCCTCTTCCCTCAAAAACAACGAGCAAATACCTTTTAGTCATAATTGACGAGTATTCCAGATACCCATTTGCATTCCCTTGCTCCCAAATCACTTCTGATATAGTAATAAAACATTTTTTAGAAGTATTTTCTCTCTTTGTTACCCCTGCCTACATTCACTCCGATCGTGGTACTCAGTTTGAAAGAAGAAAACTAAGAAACTTTCTTATAGGCAACAGTGTCAGCAAGACACGAACAACACTGTATTAACCACAAGGAAATGGGCAATGTGAAAGACTAAACTCTACAATCATGAAAACAATAAACTTAGCTTTATGAAGTTTTGAACTAGAAAAAACTGACTAGGAACTGGTACTCCCTGCAGCTCTATCCTCTGTTTGATCCCTCAATAAATTCTAGTTCACACAACAGATTAATGAGTTTCAAACACTCAACTATTACTGGTGTTGATCTACCTGACTTCCTAGTAAAACAAGTAGCACTGTACTACATAAAAATCACCTTCAATTGAAAGGAGATCCATTGGTAGAACCAGTCACTTTGCTTGAAACTGTATCACCACACTATGCACATATAAAATATATGAATGGCAGAATTGACACTGTATCAACACGACATCTAGCACCGTGTGCCACTCCCCACATTAAAGAAATAATCCAACCACCCAAAACCTTTGAGAAATCAATTTCCCCCAAAGAAGACAGTTCAACAGCTACAAACACTAGCAATAATTTTGAAACCGATGAAAATAACCTGATATTACCAACTAATTGCCATCTTCCATCTGTCACTAATGATTTACCTTCTACAAATAAAACGACTACTAGAACCAATATTACACCATCAATAACTCAATATCCTGACGTCACTACTACCCAAAACTTACTTGTTAAAACTAACTGTCCACATCGTATTAGAAGACCACCCTAAAAGCTTAATTTGTAACAAAACTTAACTAAATCAAAACTATAAATATCTATTATACAATAACACAATATCAATATAATGATATTGTGTTATTGTGTTATCGCAATATTGCGTTATTATATTTATATTATGTATATTGTGTTCCTTTATATTTTAGATAAACCTTACTACTAAATTACTTGTATTAGTCTTGATCGGGTCTACAACAGTTTCTATAAAACAACATTTATTATTTTTTAGCAACCAATTGTTAAAAACTCTATAGATGATTCAGAGACCTGTATTGATCACCCAATCAGTCTTTTTTTTTTATTGTCAGCAAGAACTTAGAGTCTGTTTATTCCCTTAAGTTCAAAACAGTTTTATTTATCTAATTTTTCTTCCTCAAATATTAATAATTAGGAATACTTTCTTGTTTCTATACTTTTTTCTGACTCATAAAATAAGAAATTTTTAAGTTTTCTGTTGATTGCTTTCTTTCTTTTTAACTCTACTATGTTTCTAATAACTTTTAACTTTCTTATTAGCTTGCAGCTAATGTTTTGATATGTCGGAATTTATTTATATTTTATAATGTATTTTTATTATTGCAGCTTTGTTGAAAGCAAATTTGTTTAATAAAAAAAATATTTAAAACTATATATATATATATATATATATATATATATATATATATATATATATATATATATATATATATATATATATATATATATATATATATATATATATATATATATATATATATATATATATATATATATATATATATATATATATGTATATATATATATATATATATATATATATATATATATATATATATATATATATATATATATATATATATATATATATATATATTATATTATATAATTATAATTATATATATATATATATATGAAATATATAAATATAATTGTGGCATATTTCTTCTCTAAAAAAAAAGGCACTTTTTTAAATTTATATTTCAGCCCTCAGAATTAGGATCGGCATTTGGAGATGCGCAACTAACTACCAACCTTAAAATGTTTGAGATCGGCAAAAAATTGCTGATCTTGTTTCTATGTCTTATGGTAAGGCCTTTATATCAAATTTTTTTTTGCCAACCTGATGCCAACTCTAAAAGATTAAGGTCAGCAAATTATTGTTGAACTCATTTTTCCTAATTCCGAAGGTTGATATTTACAGCAACCTTACTATATCATAAGAATTAATATAAATATACTATATTATTATAAAATTGATGATAAATTCTTTTTAAAATAAATAGAGAAATATAACTCACCAATTTGAAAAAACCTTCTTTCTCTACTTTTACTCCAAACAAAGATTTTAATCTCACACTTTGTATTTCAATTTTTAGATTCAAAACTTTCTCAAGTTTCCTCACTATTTTGTGCACAAAAAATCTAAAAAAAAAAAAAATTTATTTAAAGGCTCAATCTATTAAATAAAAATATTCAAAAAATGGTTTCAAAATATATGTCTTTTTATTGTTTGTATTAAAAGGTGGTTTCACCTGTATAATTTATAACACGCGTATGGAAAAAAAAAGCATTTGGTTTATTTTATAGCTTTGATCATTACAAAAGACAGAAGTTGTATTAACTTTTAATACTCTTCGTTGAATATTAAAGAAAAAAATGGTACTCAAAAGCATTTTTTATTTTAGTTCTTTTTTTTAACTACAACAAAGCTGCATATAGCTAATTTTTAGATAAATAGTTAATATACTTATTTAGAGAGTTAACTACAACAAAGCTCCATGTAATTATTTCTAAGAGTAGTGTCTCCAAGTAATTATTTCTTAGATTAAGAGTTTATATACTTATTTAAGGAGTTAACTACAACAAAGCAAAATGCAAAAAACTAATATCTAGATTAAGAGTTAATATGCTCATTTAGAGAATTTATTTACTTATTTAAAGAATTAACTACAACAAAGCTGCGAGTAACCAATTCTTAGACTAAGATTTAATATATTTATTTAGGGAATTAACAGAAAACAAAAAAAGAGAGTTAAAGAGTAAGAAATCGATAGAGAAATTAAAAAACTATTATAAAAAAGTCATAAAAGCATTTAAAATTGACAGCAAGAGCATGTCAATACAAGGCATTTTTGCATATTGTCTAAAAGAGAAAGGAACTCATTAGAAGAACTTCCTATATATGTTCCATACAAAAACGAATAAAAAACTTATAAAGGTAAAGAATAGAATCAGGAGTAAGAATACACTACGCAAAAAATGGCATCTTTAGCAGATGTGAACTTTGTAACGGAGTAAATAAAGAAGTCAGTAGTGATTGATAATCCAAGAAAATGTAAAATAGAAAATTCTGTAAAATTGTTTTGACTTTTTAAAACATTTACAAACTTATAAGAACAGTACTATTATAATTATTAGCAGTAAACAACCAAGTTGCATTAAAAATTACTAACCACTACAAGCCCTATGTCAGAAATCACATTCAAGACAATAAAAAGTGATGACTGATACAAAGGCTGAAGTATATAATTGTGTCATCAGCAATTCGAACAACCTTGAAGTATCAAAATAAATAAATAGTCTGCAAAGCAAATAAAATCTGAAAATTATTACAAATGTGGAGCTACAGAAATTTTTAAAACTATTCTTTTTATCACTCTAGGCGAAGCACAAAGACCAACATTAAACATATAATTTTGAATGATTTAGAGTTAGGAAATTTGATTTATATAAACTATTACTTTTTAATATTTATTTATTTACTTCAATTAGTAAATAAAGCAAACACTTTAAAAACATATGCATTATGTCAATTTTGACAAAACCCTATAAAAAAATTTATTTCAACTTAATCAAAAATAAAAAGCTTACTTTAGTAACAACCAGGAAACCAATGAAAACAAAAACAAAACAGCTGGTACTGCAATAATTCTCCACGCCATAAGTTAATAGTGAACCGGTATTAATTTATAAGCATATAATATTAAGTAATAAAAAAATCCATCATTAGACTATAACAAAAATTTAATAGTATAAATTAAAAAAAATAACTTTTAAAATTGAGCTATATTACAATATAAATACTATACCATATTAAAACTATATAAATTTTCACATTAAATTTTTTTTTACTTTGATGTTATTATTAAAAAGTGAAGCAAATTAAAGGTAATGACATGGAAAATTAACTTTAATTGTTTTTTAAAATGTTTTAAAAAAGAATATTAAAAAAGAAAAAAAAATTATAAGAGATCATCATATGTAGATAGTGCCTGTCCAAACCCTCAGTCAATATATTACAAGTAATTCATTTATCATTTTGGCTGTTTATATATATATATATATATATATATATATATATATATATATATATATATATATATATATATATATATATATATATATATATATATATATATAAATTTATGTTTAAACTTTATTGTATATAATATATAGTATATATTCATTTGTTGTATATATATTATAGCGCATAAATTTATTTGTTGTATATATTATATAGCATAGAAAGAATAGCTTATAAAAGATTAACATTAGCCAATGCATTTTTATATGCTACTCTGTTAATACCATAGGCAGATCAGCATGTAGAAATAATGATTTGTAGTTATACAGATCAAGTATAAAGTTAAAATTATTTTCAAATATTAAATCTCATAATTATAATTTATATAATTGATAATTATATAATTTATTAGCATATTTATTTTTTGAAATCTATTTCTTGTGACTAACTTTTTATTAACTTTTATAACTCATTGTTAATACTAATTAAAAATGTAAGATTTATACTTTATTAAAAATAAATTTTATTAATAAATCATTTTATTAAGATCAACATGTAAAAATAATGAGTTGTAGTTATACAGATGAATTTTTAATAATAAATAAAATATATATTTACCACAATCAACTGCAATACGTTTGCCAGAATTATAGACATTGTAATGTTTATATATATATATATATATATATATATATATATATATATATATATATATATATATATATATATATATATATATATATATATATATGTACTAGTATTATATTAATATAACAATACATAGTATAATATATTATACTATGTACATTTTTAAATTATATATAGTACTAAAATATTATTTTTAGCGTAAATTTCCGTTTTACATTAGCCGATATATTTAGATGGTTGGCAAAAAGAAGAATTTTTAAATTAAAATGTCTAATACTATATTTTATTATTATTTTTACTTATTATTATTATTTTTACTTATTATTATTATTTTTATCATAAATTTCCGTTTTAAGTTAGCCGATATATTTAAAATAGTTGGCGAAAAGTAGAATTTATAAATTAAAGTCTACTGTCAAAAAACTTTATTGTATTTTTTAACTTGCTCTTAAAATTAAAAGTAACTTAAAGTTAAACTAAAAAATGATAGGTTTATATTCTAGATTCTATCATCTTCCAATGGGATGCCCAATTGTTATGTGTAATAGTGGCTGATGGATCCAGTGGCGTCGATAGGGTTCGTATCACCTAATGCGCTAAATTTTTTTGTTATTTCCCGACATCACAGGTTTCCAATTTCTAAACGAAAAAAAATCCATTAGAAAAAAAGTTTGGGCATACAAAAAACAATCTTTTGCTATTAAAGAAAAGACAAAAGATATCCCAAGAAGCACTTCTACTTATTTGAAAACCTTTATTCTCTGGTTGTTCTGTTATTCATTAAGGGTTCTGATACTTCAATTCTGATATTACACTCTGTGTTTTATTGTGAAACTTCATTCTTTAGTACTTGACCTGGCCGTAAATCTCATCAGTTTTTTAATAATTTTTCTGTGCTATGGTAGCATAACTTTTTAATACCAAATCTGAAACTTTTTTTTTAAAAAAAGCGGGAGAATGGGTGAGTGCCATACCAATTCAAAAATAAGAAATTATTCGGCGCGATGGAAATACCCAAAAAACTGCTGATTTTTAAATTATTGAACTTTTTGATGTTAGTTTATCCACAACTCTCCCCTTCTCTATATATTTTGTATACTTTCTCTCCCCCCTGTTAACAATTGTCGTAATTTATCAAACTCATAATTTATCTCCTTCCCCTATTTTGTTGACATAATTAAAAAATATTGTATGGATTTCAGTGGTATTTCTCAAAGTTCTGTTCTCGGCCTGCTTTTCTTTATTCTCTAATCTTGCAAAATTTACTGAAATTTTTAGGATATTTGCCAATGATAAAAACGTTTTTCTAAAATCTTATCGCAGACTAATCTTGTTGATCTGCAGGATTGTCTACACTTGGTACACGAGTCATCAAATACTTGGTTACTTAAGTTTTACATTTCAAAATGCTGTGTTATTTATTACGATTAAACCAACCCTTATAAGACAAAGCCTTGTAGAGGTTACATGAAATTTGCTCCGTTGAAACCATATTTAAAAGAAATTGGGCACCACTTTTTACAAAAGTATCAATGATTTTTTGTGTGTAGGACTTTATATTAAATATTATTTAAGAGTTATTTTTAGATACTTTTGAAATACTTTTTTAGTTTTTTTTGTTTTTAGAGAATATTTAAATAACATATAAAAGTATTATAATTAAAATGTTTCCTACTAAAGATTCATTTTAGCCTTAGAAAAGTTCATTTTAAAAGTAAAATATATTTTTTGAATAATTAGATGTTAATTTCTTAAACAGAAAGAACACAGTTCAAGGTACAGAGGAACATAACTCATTTTGGAGTTGATATATAGTTTCAACACAAGGAAAATAAAACCTCCATTTTGGTACGATAAAGAAGATAGCGATTACTTGAAATGCAAACGGATCTAAATATTAAAACCGAGTATTGGTTTTAATATTTAGTATTGGTAACCGAATTTAATATTTAATATTGGTAACTGAATATTAAAACACGCTATTTTCTTTGATATTTAATATCGAAGAAAATTAAAAGTTATGAGAAAATGTGTATTGATAAAAGTGAAGAGACAAAATTTTAAAAAACTAAAAGTTAACTAGATACAAACTCTTTGAATTTTTCATATTGTAGCGTGTTTTAATTAAATTTAAAGAATTACTCAGCAACCATTATTTAAAAAATTAACCGGCTGTGATTTACCAAATAAACATAATAATCGTCTGTTGGTATCGCAACGTGTAGATGCGATGAGAAAAACAGCACGAAAACTAGTTAACGGAGCTGGCTAACGGGGAAGTTTTAACTCTTTTATTCTTTATTTTTTATTTAGGTGCCCTAAGAAGTCCTTACGGTCTAATCACAGAGCACCGCGGATGAGCATTTAATTAAAAGTTCACGCCTCCTTCCTAACCGATGTTGCAAACTTGTTCAGAGGTGGGGTTTGAACCACTGATCCTTTGTTTCTGAGGCAAGTGCGCTACCACTGCCCCACGGCTGCTCAAACTGAAAAAATTATCGTAGCTGGTAATATACGCGTAAAAGGAAGTATTAGGAAGTATAGCTTAATTGGAAGGATTAAAATTCCATTTTTTACTTTCCTTTGATTTAAAGCCGGTTGTTTAGAATTTTTTTCTTAACTGACACTCAAATTCGACATTAGTTTAACGAAGAGATAAATACAACTGCAGTTCTTTTAATGTTTGTATAGTCATTTTTTAGTAAAGGAAGTATGCTTGGTACATTTTAATTTTTAGAATGAATAAATGTGTTTATTCTTTTTTATTATTTAGTGAGTTTCTTTACTTTCAACCAAAATTTTCAAGCTCGTTGTCTATACATTTTTCAAGCTCGTTGTCTATACATTTTTCAAGCTCGTTGTCTATACATTTTTCAAGCTCGTTGTCTATACATTTTTCAAGCTCGTTGTCTATACATTTTTCAAGCTCGTTGTCTATACATTTTTCAAGCTCGTTGTCTATACATTTTTCAAGCTCGTTGTCTATACATTTTTCAAGCTCGTTGTCTATACATTTTTCAAGCTCGTTGTCTATACATTTTTCAAGCTCGTTGTCTATACATTTTTCAAGCTCGTTGTCTATACATTTTTCAAGCACGTTGTCTATACATTTTTCAAGCTCGTTGTCTATACATTTTTCAAGCTCGTTGTCTATACATTTTTCAAGCTCGTTGTCTATACATTTTTCAAGCTCGTTGTCTATACATTTTTCAAGCACGTTGTCTATACATTTTTCAAGCTCGTTGTCTATACATTTTTCAAGCTCGTTGTCTATACATTTCAATAAAAGTTAATTTTTGTTTATGCCATAGCTTTCCGTTTCCAGTAAAATAGTAAGGCTTACAGTGTGAATCACTTTTGAGAGGTCTATAAAGATTTTTTTTTTTCTTTTTTTTTCTCTGTTTACATAACATAAGAATTTTACAGATTCTGCTACATAATATAAAATTTAACAAAATAAGTAAAACAGATAGGGACTCAAAGAAGATGAGGATGACAGAACGTCATCGCAATCTTTTCATAGAACCCCTTTAACAAGATTTAATTAAAATATTGTAATATGACATACAAAATAAAAATGTCAATAAAATATTATAACAAAATGCGTAATCCGCTAACAAAAATTGTCAAGCAACAAACAAAAGTAGAAACAAAACAAAAACTTATTTAAGAGAATTTATCCAAAGCATTATTAACAAAAAATGTTTCACCGGTTTTAAAGATTTCTTTTTTTGTTAAAAACTTGAATGAACTTAACAAACTCACCGTACCTTTGAACTCTTTCTGAAAAATATTCCATACCTTTGAACCTCTATATAAAATGCTGTATTTTGAATATTTATTTATTATCCTTGGCAGTTTATATGTGTTCAACATATTCCCTCTAAGATTATAGTTATCATTTTTATTTAACTCAAACTTATTATTAAAGCTTATAGGAGAGATATTGTGATTGTAACGATACGTGAAAATTAAATGCTGGTAGATATTTATTTCAAATACATTCATCATTTTCATATCTTTCATCAAGGGATTAGCGTGTTCCCACCTATTTTTAAAGTAAATGATTCTACAGGCATGTTTCTGAAAAGTATAAAGTTTCTTTAGCTTTGCTGTTTGAGTACTTGCCCATGAAATGTTTGCATAGCTGATGAGGCTGTGAATTAGCCCAAAGTAGATTAATTTAAGACTATTTGTATTAATGTACGAGCGAACTCGATACATTAAACCTATGATATTGGTAATTTTTGACTGGATATATATTATATGAGGAAGCCAATTTCTAATGCAATTTTTTTATCAAAAGAATTACATAATTCTAAAATAGTGTATTTAATTGAATATTGTTTTTAGAAGCCAAAATTTTTTTTTATTTAGGACCATTTATATAATGACAGACTCAGTTGGAAAAACTCACTTGTTTATAGAAATTATTCCTCAATTTTAGCTAATTTCACTGGATTAGTGTCAAATTTGAAAACACAGGGCATCAAAATTATTTTTTCAGATCATTTAAGCCCTTTTTGAGATTTTTGGAGAGACGATTCTGAAAAATTATTGAAGTGGCAAACACTTAAAGCTCAATTGTATTTTTGAATTGTATTGCAATTATAGTTGAAGTATGTTGTACTGTATTGTTGTATTGTATTGTTGAATTGTATTGAATTGTAGATAAAGTATGTTGAATTGTATTGAATTGTAGATAAAGTATGTTGAATTATATTGAATTGTAGATGAAGTATGTTGAATTGTATTGAATTGTAGATAAAGTACGTTGAATTGTGTTGCCATTATAGTTAAACTTAGAACAGAAACGGTTACGGAAATAACATCTTGCTGTAGCACTTTTTATAAGGTAATTTACATGTTTTTGGTATAAGATATTCATACAAGTTCGACGGAGTTATTTATTTTAATTTCTTGGTTGTACAGTTAATATTCTTTGATTGTTTTACAGTTAAAAAAGTTTACGATCCCCGTTATAAGTTTTTATTATTCAATTTTTTGTAATTACGTCAGAACGAAACAAGTTCATCAAAAATATATTACATCCTCAATATTTTATACTTATATACTGCTAATTCCATGGGTTATATGAGATAATACATAAGCTATTGTCATACTATTTAAATTATGATAGTATTTAATGAAGTTGCTTAAGATGATTCGTTTTTAGACACTCAACATGAGCTTTTTATTGAGCAAATCGCGTTTTTTTGTTTTGATTTAATTCTCCGCGGAGCTTTATTTTGGTATTTCAAGAGCGAAAGTTTTTTCAAAAAATAGTATCGTTAACTTTTTTAGAGATAAGAAAGTTTGGGAGAGCGGAATAGTATTGAAAATTAACTAATCGAAAAAATGATAAGTATCGAAAAATAACTGACCGAAACTCATTTTAATGATTAAGATCGAAAATGTGATTTTCTGATTAATATCGAAAAGTTTTTATATCGAAATTCACAAATGTGGAACAATGTCGAAAACAATAAAAACGGAATAAGATCGAAAACTCATTTTAATGATTAAGATCAAAAATGTTTTTCCTATTTTCACAGTTTCGATATAATTTCGGAAATTCCGGTTTCGATATTATTCCTTTTTTCACAATTTCGATGTAATTCCGTTTTTTGAATTTTCGATACTACTCCTTTTCTCACAATTTCGATATTATTCCGATAAGTCCCTTTTCAATATTTTTCTCTTTTGAGGTGATTCGAGATTATTTTACTTTTCGGATATTCGATGCTATTCCTTTTTCAATAATTTCAATATTTTTCTCTTCTGAGCTGTTTCGAGAAAATTTTGCTTTTCAGATTTTCGATACTATTCCCTTTTTAACAATTTCGCTATATTCTCTTTTTCGATATTATTCCGTAAAGTCCTTTTTCGATATTATTCTTTTTTTTCACAATATCGAGATTATTCTATTTTTCGGATTATTGATACAACTCCATTTTTTTGCAATTTCGATGTTATTCCGGAAATTCCCTTTTCGAGATTAATCAGCTTGGCTGTTTTCGATACTGTTACTGCTACCCGAAAGATTTACTATTGTTTTTGTTTTTTTATGGTTGAGATAATTACTTTTTACTTAAGTATAGTCCTTGAAGATACAATTTTATTTTATTTTTCTTTGTGATTATTTTTTTGTTATTTGAGTTCCATTAAAAAAAAACTCATCATAGGAAACTGGTTTGTAAGATGAAATGATTGGGTGTGTTGAAAATAAATCAATTTTTGGTATAAAGGCTTATTTATTTTCCATCAATTCATTGATATTCTTTGAGAGAAAAAAATTAAATTATGATAAAATGAAAAAATTAATAAAAATATTTTAATAATTCGGCTGCAAAAAAAAAAACAAAAAACAATACACCATACCAGTGCCGGATCAGGGGGGAAGGGCGTAAATTTAGGGGCCCCCAAAAATTATAGAGGACCTTTTTTTTTTAAAGTCTGGTAGTTTTTTAAAGTCTTTGTTTTAGGCTCTGGTACATAAAAAGGCCTCCATAAACAAAAATAGCCCCGGGCCCGAAGAAGTTTTAATCCGCCACTGCACCATACGCAACATACGCAACCTTTCCCGACTTTAATTAAAGTTAATAATGACAAAAAAAACTGACGTTGATATAAAGAAAACTGAAATTTGAAATAAAATATATTTTTGAATATGATATAAATTAATAACAACCACATTGATGGTTTAATTTTATTAATATATAATATATACATATTTATATGATAAGAAATTCCCCTGGCTCACATGGGGCTAAAGGATGTTTTAAAATGAATATAACTCTGTAACATATATAATATGCTAAAAGACCAAAACAAACTCCTAAAAACTTTTGCATAAGTGTATGGAAATAAGCGCATGTAAAAAACAGCATAACTTCCCAAAGTAACATAAGTAACAATAAACTAGCAGAGAAAAATTCAATTAACCAATCAAACAACACAGCAGAAAAATCGAAACCAAGGAATTTATATGCCTTTTTTAATTTATTATTGTCATTATTGTTTATTTGTATGACTACATTCATGGTAGCAAGAAGCTCTTCATTTATAACCAGAGTACAATATGTTAACAAAAAACAATGACCTGAAATATCAAAACCATTCCATAAAAATCCACTATTTCGACAAACTTCTTTTATATTCAAATTATTGTCACCAACACAATTTCCAGTATATGACTCAATAGTTTCAAAAAATGAAGTAAAAAGGTACCATGTTAGAGTAAGAACAAAGATTCTTGATATGTTCTTAAAACAAACAATAACATTACTCTGCTTTTGTTTTGATAGTAGAGATAGTAAAAATGCAAATAACAAACCACTGGTCCAGCCCCATCCTTTTTTCACAAAAAAAACATTGAAAAAATTGTTTCTTAACGAAAAGTATGACGGGGGAAGAGGCATAAAATCATGAAATAATGATCCAAAAACAAAAATACACCATAATATTGTGAATTTCAATTGTACATTCATTGTTAGTAGGTATTGCAGCCTTTTACGATTATTCAACACAAAGCTGTACCACCAAAGCCAGTCCATTACACTGAAATTCTAAAAATAAAATTAGTATAACTTTTTATTACAACTTTATATAACTTCTATATAACGATATATAAAGTTGATGTAGGTGCTCATAAAACATTGTTGATAACACCATAATGATAGCAAGATCATAGAAAATGAGGGTTTCACTATATACATTGTCAAGTTTGGGTTTAGGCAGGGTTTATATATTATAGATATACATTTTCAACCATTGGAATTAGGGTTGAAAATGACCTAAAAGTGTTTTAGATTGGGAAAAACACTTTTTTTTTTCTCGTTTCTTTGTTTTGTTGGTAAACCTGTATATATATATATACATCTTTATACACACACAGGCACACACACACACACACACACATATATTAATATATATATATATATGTTTATATACATAGTAAGTGACCATAAACCTAGAGTTTAGAGGCCTAAAATAATTTATCTAAAATATCTGAAAATAATTAAATAAAAAATTTATTCTATAATTATTATTATCATTTATTATTATATATAATTATTATTATCATTTATTATTTCATTTATACTTTAAGCATATAATATAAACATAGTATCTCTTTCGAGTTTTAAAAGTAGATGCCGAACTGGAAGAAAAAAAAAAATTACAGCTTGAGAAGACTATATGACATCACAAATGGCTTTAAAAAATCGTCGCAACATTGTAACTCTTTAGTAACAAGTTCTGTATTAGCCGCCACAAAACCACAACCCCCCCCCCCCATAGAATAAGGATTGAAAAGCTGCTAGGTAAGAAAAAAGCTTTGGCTCTCAGGAAAAAAAATAATAAAAAGACTAGAATGGACGGTTTAACACAAAGATTGGACATCTGCAAAAAAGAGTAAATTAATCTGGTTGGATGAATCCAACTTTGAGGTAAGTAAAACCTAACTACGTTCTTTAGAAACAATGGAAAAATAGATCTTTATAACTAAATTTATATATAAAAAAAATAAAGGTTGATGTTTTGGATTTTTTTTCCAGATTTTTTAAAATTCTTGGCATAAAGTATGAGAGGAAAACCTAGTAAAGCTTTTTTACCAGATTGTCTAGTACCTACTGTTAAATTTGGCGGAGGTAGTGTAAAAAAAGAAGTGGTAATAACCACTATTCAGTAGCCTTCTCATCTGTAGTGGCCTTCTCGGCCTTGAGGAGGTGAATAACAAACAAAAAAAACATATATATATACATATATATATATATACATATATATATACATACATATATATATATATATATATATATATATATATATATATATATATATATATATATATATATATATATATATATATATATATATATATGTAAATATATATATATATATATATATAAATATATATATATATATACTCCTAGCTCCATGCCAACCAATTTGCTCTAGTGTCAACACCACTAGCTTATTATCTATTAGCACAACTAATATGCGCTCACTCTGTAACAAAATCAAGATTTATAATCAATATCTTACAGATTCTAACATTGACATTGCCTGTCTAATCGAAACTTGCCTAAACCCAAGTGGTAAGCAAACTATTCTTTCCTAAATCAATAATAATTACATCAATATTAATAATAACAATAAAAATTAATCACTTGTGGATACTGTTCCTGTCTAGTAATATGTGTCTATATTACCGTTTTGACTTAAAGTGAGCAGTGCAATGCTTCTTATCAACTTGCACAATTTATGGAGCAAGCTATAACTTACTGTACATTGGGCAACAAACCAATAATAATTCTTGCAGAGGATCCAAATAGCTGCCCTACTGATTTTTTGTTGTTGTTCTCACCAACTTATTCACTACTTATTAAATGCTATGTGTCCAATACCCTTCCTAGCTTTGGTAATTCAGATCACTTCATTGTAATTAGTCAGTCTCTTCTAAGTATTTATAAATCCACTTGCCCAGTTCCCCGCAAGGTTGCTTACTGGTCAGGTAGAATTGCTGATACTGTTGCACCAATATGATGTACCAGTCTTGAAACCTTCTATACTTCTATATTCTATGTTCTCTACTTTAGACATGTCAACCTCTAAGAGCAATAACGCTTGTCAACCCCAAGCCTTGGATGACATCATTTATTCAAAGTCTTGTAAAAGTACATCAATGACTTTTTTTCTTGTGGCACTATAACAAGTGAAAAGAACTTGTCAATTGAGTCAGTAAACTAATTACCAAAAGAAGACGAATCTATAACAGGAGATTATCTTCTGGAAAAACAGATTGTTGGCAAGAAAGCAGACTAGCAGATAAAGGACTAATCACCATCCCATCTCAGAGACATTAGCAAACTAATTGAGTGATCATTTTCAAAGTGTTTGGATTGGTAGGAAACAACCAAACCTCTCATTCTTCATCAACCAAAAAGTAAACCCACCTATTACCCTATTTTTACACTTAATCACACTCTCAATCCAATCAACAAACTTTAGATAGGATAGTCAAGACCAGATGATCTTACTCCACTTTTACTTAAATTTGCTCGCTTT